GGAATGATGGGGCCGAAAGTCAAACTGCTAATCTCGGAGAAGGTTAGAAGAGTTTAATTTTTCCGATTGTCTTATGAAAAAAATTTTCCAAATACGTTGGATGTGGTAGGAATTAAACTAATTGGCGATATAACGAGGCTTTTTGAACTGGTTTGCCAGGTTTCAGGAAAAGGATGATGCTCAAATATTTCCATAGTAAGGGAAATGGGTGGTGCGGAATATACAACTGTAGAGATGTGTATGAGGAAAATAATAGCTTCATTGAGGGAGCACATTAATATAATAATTAATAAATCAATAAACTTTTGTGTTGAAGTGACTAGTTTTTGCAACCCAAAATATATTTAATATGCAAAATTTAAATGAACCTGAGTACATTAAAAAATTTTAAGGTGTTGAGTCAATATTTTGCGTTGGTTATTTCGTTTAGAGATTAAACATAAAGGTTTTTATAGTTGGGTGGTAATATTCAATAAACGAATTTACCGACTTTCTAAACAATAAATAATTGCATTACAAGGATGTAATAGTAATGCAGCGTTTTATTGCGTTATAAAATAAAAAACTGACGTTATATGTTCGTTGTTATAAGTTTTATAGACTTCTATTGTATGTTGTAATTGTCTTCCTTTCTCCTAATGAGATCATTATTTATTAGTTTAATTCTCTGAATTAACGACATTTCTTTGATATTCCATGGCCAATGGAAATACGTACCATGTCAACAGTATCGATAAATCATAAACATAATATTCTTTTTAATAAATGCATTTTTATAATGGAAAAATACTAACAACATAGTCATTTGTGTTTTTTTCTCCGGGGTTCAAAAAGTTGGTTAGAATAAAATTAAAATCTGGAGTGATCCAACTTTGCACTCAACTGTTATATGCACTGAGAAGCAAAGAAGTTACTATTTTAAGTTTCAAATTTGTTTGAGTGATGTTTGTAACTGATACAGATTCGACTAGAATCATATTATACATGGAAGATGGAAAAAGTCAAGCGAATGTGGCCAGGGTACAAACATTCCCAGAACAACTGTCCGAAGGATTAATTAAGGTTTTTAGTAGAGATGAAAAAAAAGTTAATGGCACGAGCGGGATTCGAACCCACGATCTTCGGCTAGATACGCCGCTGCTCTACCACTTGACCTATCGTGACCTCGATCCACTCGGACATCAATTTCCTATCTCAACCTCACCTTATGAGTTTTCGCTCATTTTGCCATTTCGAATCTCGCTCGTGCCATTAACTTTTTTTCATCTCCACTAAAAACCTTAATTAATTGTCATGTATTAATTGGTCAAGCGGGCCACGAAAGTAGTGAATTAATGTCCGAAGGATCTTCCATCGCAACCAAGATACGACAGGTTACTCAAGAAGGCATGGATCAGGTCGCCATTGTGTCACATCAATCCGACACATGTTGAGATCAAGCAACGACTTTTTTTTATTATTTTCCTCTCACAAGTAACCTTTGCGAGAAGGAATGTATTTTCACCTGCCCCCGATTAAGATTACAGGTGTTTAAAGATTACATCGTCCGCTCAGTTTTGAACAAGTATCAGATTCAAATTACATTTATATTTGACGTTGTTGATCTTGATTATTTTATTACTATTTTAATAACAATTAATAATAATTTTATTAATTCATAATTATTAATAAAATGATCATTGCCAATATATTAATTAATACATCAACCGATCATTAACACATTAATTAACTATTACTATAAATTAATCAGTAATATTTGAATTTTTTATTATTATAATTTTAAACAATTATATTAGGTCAAAGTTCATTGAATTAATAAAGATTAGCGCATCTTGATGAAATTCTTTTAATAGTGTTTTTAATGAAATTGGCCACTTTTTTCCTGCTAAGACTACTTTTCGTATTAGCTTTGCCCTCATTTGCTCCTGTAGATCGCAGTCAAGCACCAGGTGTTCCAAAGTTTGGGTGCCGCAGTATTTTATGTGTCATTCTCCTTAAGGTTTTTAGTTGAGACAAAAAGTCAATGGCACGAGCGGGATTCGAACCCACGATCTTCGGCTAGATACGCCGCTGCTCTACCACTTGAGCTATCGTGACCTCGATCCTAACTCGGACACTAACTTCCCATCTCAACCCCACCTTTTGAATTTTCCCTCCTTTTTGCCATTTTTCAATTGGTCAAGCGAACTACGAAATTAGTGAATTTAATGATTTAAAATGAAGTATACTTCACTAAAGCCCTCCGTGGCCATTTCATTTGTCGTCGAGAATCCAATCCGATTACACGACATTTGAAAAATCTCAACTAAAAACCTTAATTTATTGTAATATATTAATTGGTCAAGCGGTCCATCAAATTAGTGAATTCTCCTTAAGGTTGAAGCGTTTCAGGTATACAGCATTTTTACCGTGTCCAGTTAAGACCTGGGTAAGTTTGTAGGAGTAGGTGAAAACTAAATCCTGGCAAGCTTTGATGTTTTCAAAACAAGTTTTAGTATGGCTTCCTGTTGATGCTTCCGTCCATAGGAGATCCAATAATTCATGGCTCTTCTTTTTCGCTTCCGATATGATTAAGGATCTATGTACTTCCCGGAATTCCACAGGTAGGGATTTATCTGCTGACGCTTCTTTCGCGTAACGGTCTGCTTCTTCATTATCTTTTGGACCAGCGTGAGCTTTTACCGAACGTAATTTTAATTTCCATCCTATTTCTTCTAGGTTTCGGCTCAATGGTTTGATTTTCTCAACAACTGGTAGATGGTTTCGACGATCGCGGAGTTGTGCTTTTGCCACTTTGCTATTTGCTGTTTCCTTCCTCCATGGCCCATTCCAGTGTTTTACATAATGCAAACAGCTCGGCCTGATTATTGCTGCACCAGTCAGCAAGTATAGATTTCTGTATGTACACTGGACCTTCTCGATTTAGGCCGTACACCACTACTGCACATCCTACACCTCCTTCTGTTTTACTACCAACAGTGTACACAGGCTTCCTCTCCAGATTGTACACTACTGGTGTCTTCTTCAAATGAAAAACGACTTCTGCCTTCTGCTGGGTGTATTTTTTGCACGTTGGGATTTCAGATTAGATGTGATATTCTTCACCGAGAACATCATATCTCCCTTTGCGTAAGTCGTTGCTATCATTGCCATTTCTATAAGCTTTAAATCTATAGGGAGTTCCCCCAGCTATGACACATGTAGCCAAAAACGAGATTGTCCGGTATCCTTTTATTACTCTGAGCAGCATCTGTCTTTGGATCCTTCTTAGTCTCCGTATGTTGTATTTTCGGTTTAGCGCTTCTATCCAAACTGGGGCAGCATATGTTAATGTAGAATTGCTACCCTGTTAAATAACTGAGAGTGCTTGTCCACTCAGTCCCCAGTACACTTTTGTTGACCGTGATAACTGACCTATTAACTGCCCTGTCTTATTGCAAATATGCTCAACATGATTGTCCCATCTCATGCTACTGTCTAAAATAACACCCAAGTACTTAAGCTCTTTTACTTCTTTCAGTTGAGAGTCTAACATGTATAGGTGAACTTCACTGTTCCTTAGCTTTTTGGTGATTTGCATAAAGTAGTTTATCTGGGTTAAATGTCATTTGATTCAAATCTGCCCATTTTTCTACTATATAGAGACATTCGTTTCCCAGCATTTCCAGGTCAAACTTTGTATTTCCTGACATTATCAGTAACACCTCATCAGCGAAGGCATAGATTTGTGTTTCATTTGGAAATCTTATTTTAAGCAAGGAATCATAAAGGATGTTCCAAACCCCTAACCAGTTTACGCACTGTAAAGCGAAGACTTTCGAAAGCTGGATTACGTGCGAGAAGGCCTGCCGATGGTCCAAACTGCTGACAAAGCACAGAAGAGGAATGAAAGAATTGAGTTGTTAATTTTCGCAAGAAATCACAACAATTAGTTTAATTTTCAAAGATGAACTATATCAAATTTGGCAAATCAATCAATTCTCTCATTCCTTTTTTCTCTTTTGGTTTGGATTCTCTCTTTCTTTTCCCTCCCTCTCACTCTCTCTCCCATCCTCTCTTTCTCACTTTCTATACTCTCTTTTTATTTATCTTTGTATCACCTCTTCTTCTCTCTTACTACCTCACAATCCCATTCCAAGATTGAAAGAGGATCAAGGTAGATCTGACTCGCTTCATTGCTAAACGGAAAAGGGAACACGCGCTCTAATTACACATGCTATCTCATCCGCCTAATTTCAGTATAATCTTTCTTGACTTATTCAAAACGGACGTTTAAACGAAAAATCACGGTTGTAACAAGCTCGCAATGCTCGTTACGCAAGAATGTGTAAACGTGATGGTTTATTGGCCCGTAACGAAATGCTGGCAATTTAAAGTTGCGTTATCTCCAATTACCCGGTCCAAATCCGTTTCATTCAGCATGGTTTGGCCGGTGAAATTGTGTTTTTATGCTTGTGTGACATTAAATAGTTTTTAAAAATATCTCTCGTTATTGAAATCCCTTGATGAAAGTTCAAACTGGTTTTTGCCGTGACTGTTCCTTTATCGTCACCGTTTTACGACAAACAGATAGTTCACGTAAAAATTAACTGTTTAACTGGAATCGTGATCGCGTACCCCATACGTACTTCTCCCAAAATCCATTATCACTTACGCACTAAAAAATGATAAAACTTAAATAGGAGGCGATAGCATGATAAAAATTAAACCACGTGTTACGGGTGTTAAAGTTACGCTTCTGCTTCTAGATAAACACAGATTTTAATAAGATATAACCGATTAGCCAGACATGCGAGTAATTGAAATGTACCATCAAACCATTTTTTTATTATTAATTTTTTGACTTGTAAAAGGGTTTTTGTTTTTCTCATCGTGTTAAAGATTATTAGTACCTATAAAATATTGCAATGCTTTCAATATTTACAGCTCAGACTAAGATACATGGAATTTTTTTCGACTTCCAAAATAATCAACATCAAAACTTTTTATTAAATTCCAGTAATTGTACACATTTTATCCTAGATGAACATTTCATCAATAATATCACAAAATTGATATGTAAGAAATAACTGATGTTCTTTTCTTTCAAAGCAAAACATATACTATGATCGTATTGGTTAAAATAATATTTGGGTCAGACAATCAAACAATATGTAATTTACTTTATGTCATAAAGTATATTTTAATATATATCATTACATATAAGAACTATGGTTTTTCATCATTTAGTTTCCAATAAAACCAGTATATTTTAATATACTCGTAGTATTCATTATTTTTTCGTCTTACTCTAGAAGAACCTGTTTTTCACCCCTTACTTAACCCTTTATTCATTTTAAAAGAAGATAAAAAGTTGAAAAAAACAACATTTATTCTTATTACGCGATAAAAGTTACTAGGAAACATTTAGTAAAGACCGAAAGTTTACCTTAAAAATTTAATTAAAAATATAATCGTTCTTTCTGATCTGAATGTTCATGACATAAGGTGTAGATACAATTTAAAAAATAGAAAATTTAAAATAAAATTAAAATATCACAGTAATTAATTAATATTTCCTGGAAACGAGCTTGATCCAGATTCCATCTACCGGAGCCAGGATGAAGGATTTTGGATCGAGGACCAGTGGCTGAACCGTCTTTTCGCTCAGACGCATCTCGTAATTTTTGATCAACTGCACCAGGGCGAGTTTCATCTCAAGCATAGCGAATCGCTGCCCTGCAATGAGAAAATCACATCAACAAACTATGGAAAACGGGCTCGTGTTAGTTTGGAGTTTCACTCAGGATTGTGTTCCGATCGGAACTTGAGTTACAAGGATGTGCGCTTACAGCAGCTGGCAGGCGGGGCGAGTTGAGAAAACGAGAGGTTCCAGGTTCGTATCTGGAAGTGGATTCCTTCCAGGACACTCGAGTTATCTCCGTTATCAGAAAAAACTTTAAACTCGACTTGTCAAGACATTGAGGTCCTCTCGTCCCACCAATTCCTTGCGTATTCTAATGTTTAAATCACGCCAATTGATTCAAAAGTTTCTCCTTATATTTCACATATACATTTACGAAGGGACAGACCCGGTACTACATTCTCAAAACATTGCCATGACACAAATTATTTAAAATTAAATAATGTAAATAATAAATAAAAATGTGCAGGTCTGCCATGGGCTTTGTAATCATATTTGCGCTGTCTAACCTAACGATTATTTATTAATCAGTTTATTGCTTTCGAATCGCATGACTAAAATTATTAGAAAAACATAAATTATTGCCAAATTCAGTATAAAATCTGCAATTACCAACTAACTCCAGGACATCTATTTCATATTTTATATTCAAGATATTTGTTTTTCTTTGAAATATATATCGATGCGGTCTGGTATGACGTAGGTTTTAAAAAAACATTTTCTTTATCGTGCCAACGTTTCGGTCTTTATTTAGATCATCTTCAGGGCCTTGGGTTGTCTGCATTTCAGCAAAAAAGTTCTCTAATTGATAGCCGATAGCTTGAAATGCAGACAACACATGGCACTGAAGATGATCACAATAAAGATCGAAACGTTGGCACGATAAAGAAAATTACCAGACCGCATCTCACGATCTCCAAATTATCGGTCACTAAACACCACACATAAATATCGAATGTTTTTTTTTAGATTTATTTGACAGTCGATATTTTCGTTAGATTTCTTTACATCATCGATATGTTGATCCGGTTTTTTGTTCAAAAAATATATTTTTCTTCAGTTTTTACTCTGACTATATCGTTGTCTCCATGCCTTTGAACGCGTCTGGTTAACCATACAGCTGAAACTCAATTTTTCCTTTCTAGTACATACACATCTAAAATCCTTCCTACCTGATCTTTTCTACCATGTTACCTACCGAACCTCAATCTCTTCGATCCAATCTATCCTCTCTGGAGTTCCCAATGGATCATCCTACAAACGTTTCTTTTAATCATATACGCACTTATGAGTCTGAGCAGTTCCATCAAGACCACCTCTTTACCTTAGAACCATGGTTCCATAAATGGACAGGAAAAATAAATGAAAACAAATCCCAGCATGCGTCTATTACTGTCAAACGCAAAATAGACCTTTTCCTTTATCTAAATCTAATTCCACTTTCCATGTCTGATCATGTCAAATACTTTGAACTGAATATAAACCAAAAGTTGACAAGGAATCCGCATTCGCGACTTAAAATGGCAGAATGGAACTAAAGATACAAGATAACCTCCAAATTCCTTAATAATACTAATCTAGCCAAATCCCGATATTTAAATTCCATTCTAAATTACCTCCCTCATCCGCGACCTTTCCGGTTGAGGTCTAGCAACCAAATAAAGCCACACATCGTGTTCGTGCAGTCGAAGGGGCTGCATAACTTGGGTCATCAATGGGTGGTTCATATTCATGCTCACACTAATGTTTTTCATGTAACCTTTGCTTGTAGCATAAATTAGTTTAGTTGTAGACAAATAATAAAAAATGAAATATTTCGTTGCCTCATCCATGTTTCTGTTCGATTTGATTTTAAAATTGATTTGATTTGTTTAACGTCGATGTTTTATCTTCTATTCTGAATCAGATACAAGTCATAAAGTAGTATGGGATTCTCTGTAATATCAACTTTTTATACCTAGGATCTAAAAGAAATCAAATATGAAAAAATACTAGGCAAATATTGTCTTGCTGCTCACCTATGCAGATTCGTGGGCCCTCACCGAACGGCATATAAGTATGGCTTTTCAGTATGTCCTTGTCGTCGAACCTTTCCGGTATGAACTGTTCCGGATCCGGAAAATACTCGGGATCGTGCTGCAGGGCGTAAACGGGAATCACGATCGCCACCCCGGGGTCGATCTCGACGTCTGTGCCGGGTATCTGGTAAGGCTTGGTGCACACTCTGGAAAGACCGCTCACCGGTGGATACAACCTCATCGTCTCTGGAAAAAGAAAATGTATGTTTTTGAAGTCACACGTTTCTTTTAACTACTATCAAAAAAGAAGTCTTAATCATTGAAAACCACGCAAACCTCAATATCAAAAATTTGTGACAGAATACTGATGGTGTTAATAAGAATCTTTGTTTAGATTCCATTCCAATTTTAATAAAAGAATTCTTAAAGGTATTAAATAGTAAATAAATTTCGTCAATAGTTTTGAGGGATCCTAGGACTCCAGATTCGATTTGTTACCCAGCAGAATATTTTCAAGATAGTTCATCTCGATGACGGCGTCGTAGTTGAGCGAACCGTGTTTTTCCAAGACTTTATTGATTTCCTCCAGCGCTTTGTCCTGGCATTTAACGTTTTTAGAAAGCTCGTACATGCAGAAGCTCATGGTAGTGGAGGAGGTCTCGAACCCGGCCAAGAAGAATACAAAGGCTTGGGCTGCAATCACCGAATCTGTAAACACTGTACCGTTTTCCATTAGAAAATGGAATAAAAATGCAGATGTCTCTGGAAAAAAAGAAAGGAATATAAAACAGGATTTTACAGATGTCGTCTTTAACGGGGTTTTTGAAGTCGGCCTTCTTCAGCTGGATCATGAGTTGGAGGAAGTCGTTCCGCTGCGAGTCTATTTTTTCCCTATAGGACATCGTCTCGCGGACCACCCCGGTGAAGAAAGAGTTGATCTCGTCCGGGAACGTCCTCATCCGCAGTGCGTCGAAGATCCAAGGGACGAAATGCCTCATCGCTTTGGCCATCGCGGCTTTAGCAGTAGGCTGAAGGGCTTTCTTGCCCATCTCTCGAAATACAGAATCGCCTGTGGGAAATTATATTCCCTGCATTATTCTTGAATTAAGGTAACTTTAATTTCGAACCGGATTTCCACCTGACATTGCGTTAAATTGCAAGCCGAATGCCACAGAGCCGATCACGTCTGTTGTGAATCTTGCTGTAGTCTCACGGAGTTCAATGATCCCTTCGCTACCTCCAAGTTCATTCTGTAATTTAAATTAATAGTGTAGCTTAGCAAAGAACAGAAAAAACAAAATAGAAAGAGGTCTGCTGTGTGTTGAACCTGCAGTTTGGATCATGGTCATTCCTAATGACAAGTAGACAAGCAACTAGGCTAATTTATTGATTTATATAAGCTCAAATCTATACATACAATTTGTCCTTAAATCACAAAATGCTACAAATTCCTCAATGAATACATTACACAGATTTTTTCCCAAGTTAGAGAAATGAATGTTTATAAAAGAAAAGAGATTAAGGCTTATTGACAAATTGAGAGCTTATCTGCTTTCATATCTCTGTACTGTCTTTGATAATATTTGGCCAACCGTAAGATTTACAATGTGGGATTTAAAATGTCCAAATTACATCATTTGTTCAATATCAAAATGAAATTAGGCATCGGATGTTAGTAGATACAATTGCCAAGAGACTTAATTTTGATTTAAACTCCTCTAATGATGTTTGTTCATTTGGCCATTATTGGGTATAATATACACAAACGTTCAAACCTGGTATGATTGGGGTCAATAGGGCAAACATAATTTCAAATATTTACATTAATAAACTTGAGCATGGTTTACAGAGGGAGAGCGAATTGTTTTGTGGCTAAAAAAGAATTATTTTACCTGACTTTGGCAAGGCAATCAACTGCATTTGGCACGTTGATAAACAATTTTATTTTTACTTATTGCAACAAAAAAATAAAAAAATAAAACCCTCAAAAAAATATAATTATTGATGAGGCCAAATTTATATCATGCTTGCGATTCTGTATTTTACATGAAACGTTTATTTTCTACTTTCTTCATTTATTGCTAAATCCTTTTCATTATGAAATAAATTTATTAATGTATGAAGCCTCATAATAGTTATGAACTTCAATTGAAGATGTACTGTGTTCAATTTATTAGAAGAAAAAAAATTTAAAATCACTGAAATTGATTCAAACAGAAAGAAATTCAACTAGTCCAATTTCTTAAAGCGGAGTTTAGTTCCTGCTCAAAGCATTTGAAACTTGCTCAATTGTGTTCATGCAATTATGTTTCAGAAAGGTGTAAAAATCATATTTATTTTACTATTAAACATTGTTTTAATGATAAATGCAAATGACTAAAATTGATTAAAATAGAAAGAGATTAACTTTTTTTTCCGCTTAAAGCTTAGAATTAGTTCAGTTCCTCAAAGTGCTGCACAAAAGAACTGAAACTTTCTCAGTGTTTTCTTTTTTTAATGCAATTATGATTTAAAATGGTGTAAAAAAATGCATGTAATATGGAAAAGTCACAGAAATTAATTTAAAAATAAATAGATTTGAGTAGATTTATTTATAAAAGCCTATGTTTAGTTCTTGAAAGTGCCTCACAAAGCAAATGAAATTCTACATGAACATTCTTTTCGAATAAATTTAAACCAAAAAGAACCTGAACAAATTGCTGCAGTTTGTTTGAAGACTCTACGAGAAGGGGGAACATATTCTTGATCTTCCCTGAACTGAAAGCGGGTGTGAGCTTGTTCCTCAGGATGCGCCAACGGTTGCTTTCGAGGTTGACAAGGTGCCCAGTCAGCGGTTCTCTTTTTTCGTCAATGTGAAAACCCCGATTCATGAAGTGGTCAAAGTCTTTCACCAGGATGCGTTTGATCAACTCCGGGTCTCTGATGAGCAGGCTCGGGTTCCTCAGTTGGTAGATGCCGACAAACTTCTCATTCGGATATTCCCTGCAGAAGTTGTTTTGTTGTAATAAGTTTTTTTTGTTAATTGAATTTTAGAATAAATTACCAGTATATCTCCCGGTGGCAGGCACCGGGGAACTTCTTCAGCAGGACAATGTCTTTTATATTGCCAAAAACAGCTATAGGCTCTGGAAACGGTACTTTTTTCTTCTTCCAATAATCATAGGTCCATATCAAATAAATGTATAAAAGAAGTGGGATCAAGAATGCAGAAATCAATAGAAACATTCTGTAAAAGATGAAAGTTAATGATATATTTTATTCACCATCAAAGATTGACACTTCTTGACTATATTATATTATTAAGAACATAATTAATAAAATATGCTTCCATATCTTTATAAGTTTAATAATCAAACTTAACTAATTAACTTGGTTTATCCTGTTGGTTAATTATTATAAAAAATGTTCTATATTATGCCACATTTCTTCAGATTGATAAACCATGTTAGATCATTCGATTGAAATTATATAACACCATTTTCTTCATGCACTCGCCCTACATTGATGATTTTTATGTAATTTTTATTTCATACTTTTTGAAATGTTATATTGTACATTAAGTAACTTCAGATGATCTTGGTTGCTTATTTCAGCAGCAGCCACCAGGCTTGCAACGATGCAACAAATTTTCCAAATAACAATATTTTCTTAACATATTCATCTTATATGTAGAACACACACAAGGCTTCAAATCTGACACCTTTTGTTTCCTTTAAATTTAATTAATTAAATAAATTTTAAGTTGGTTAAGTGATGTTTAAGTAAAACTTGGCACATTATACAGAAATGACAGTTATTGGACAAAATATGCTCCTCATCGCAACATCCAAAAAAACTACCTTTCAAATCTTTCAGCCTGCATATTCTCATTGATGTAAAAATATGAAAACACAATCTCCGGACAAAAAACTTTAAAATATTTACTAATAAAATAACTTTAGACATAATAACACTGTTCTTCCATCAGAAAAAAGGATTCTTTCATCTAGGCACACCATTAATAGTTGGCTATCTTTAAAGGAAACTTTGATTAATTAGTCATTAAGTTCTTAATTATACCGGCTAACAAATCTCTTCTGATCGTTTATAAAAATAAATAAATAAAAATAAACTAAAAATAAAATATTTATAAACCAAGCAAGATCAAAATGTAATATAATCAGTTTCTATAAAATTTCATTTTAAGGATTCATAAAATTTACTTTGTATATAAATGATTAATAATTTTATTAAATTATTGTCAATAACTTGAAATTGTTTAATTGTTTAATCATTTCCTTTCCCTATATGCTGAACTTAAATTGATAGGTTTTATCTTGACATAAGTAATAAGTATACATAAAGCCCCGGATCTTTACTGAAAAGCTCATAATTTATGGTGTTCGTAGAAGTTTCAAATCAATCTAATAAAAACAATAGGTTTTTAAAATCTCAGATCTCAACAGAAAATATCATCTATTTTGTGGTTTGTCCACGTTTCCGATCTTCCTGGCATGAACTATAGATTCGTTAACCCGCCAACATATAATCTGGTAGCCACTGTCGTTTCCGATCATCCAGGGTCAAACTTCTGGTTAATCACACCTTAATTCTGTACAGAAAATCGAAATATGTAAACCTTTCAAGGTAGGTCGTTTCCGGTCAACCGTGTTCAAACTGCAGGTTCATCAAACGAACGACCTCCACAGAAAATCTCAAATTTGACGGAGTTTGTAGTCGTTTCTAGTAATTTAGTAAGCGTATGCTGCAAAGTAATCACCCAGACGACCTCAACGAAAAATCTTAGGATTTGTGTTCGTAGTCGTTCCAGGTCAACTAAGTTCAAACTGGCAATTCAAAAAAACCAGTGACCTTAACAGAAAAATCACACAATTTATTAAGTTTGTAGTTGTTCCCTATCATTTTGATACGAACTACAGAATCATAAAACTGCTGATCTCAACGAAACTTTTTAGGTTTCGTGGTCACAGACTCACAGTCGTTTCCGGTCAACCGGCAAACCCCGCTTCCTAGTATCCTTTCTGCCATAGCATACCGTACCATTCTGGTCAACCGAGTCTAAACTACAGATTCTTAATACCGCATAAAGGTCTCAACATAAAATTTCATGATTTATAGGGTCTATGATTGGTTAAGATCATCCTAGTGCAAACCACTGTTTCATAAAACTGCAGGCATCAACATAAAAATAGCGTCGCTTCGAAATTTGGTTGTTTCCGATCATCGTGGTCTAACCTGTAATACTATAAAACCGTAGATGTCCGCGTAAAATTTTAGAACGTCCTAACTTCAAGCACATAAAACCGCATATCATTTGAATAGAAGATACCAGGATTTTTTGGGCTTATGGTCATTATCGATCAACCTAGTACAAGCCATAGATTCATAACCCTGCAGACGTCATGAATATTTTTAAATATTTTATGACCTTGAGGTTTGTTCGTTTCCAACCATCGAGGTCCAAACTGTATCATAAACCCGTATGTCAACGTAAAATCTTACGATTTATGGTGTTCGTAATCCTTTCCGGCTAATCAGATACCCCTAGCACTAAAGGGTCATAAAACCATAGGTCACAACAGAAAATCTCATCATTTATAGGTGAACCACAATAAACTTTCCCATCACCCCAATAGTCTCGACCAAGCCTTGTCCAACGAATTCATCCCTACAATCCCATAAAGCGTCACAAGAATAAATGGCTCCGCGAACTCCTTTAAGAATAGTAAGTAGTGTAGTTTCATTAAGTGAAGTGGGAGAAAATGTGATTATTTTCCCCCTCAATGTAAGTAAATAAATATGTCTATGTATTCGCAAAATACATGTTTTAATCAGAAATTGCAAATTGTAATAAAATATTGCAAAACAAATGTATACGGTTTAGTCGTTTCACCGGGGTCAAAATTCAGGTTCATCAAACCCTAGAACATTTGAAAATGTAAAGCTTACAAGCAACGTTGTTTACGATCAACCAAGTCCAAACTTCAGGACCACAATTCATAAAACTAAAGACTTCAACAAAAATATCTCAGATTTGTTGACATTCAATCTAAACTGCCATTTCACAAAGCCAGTTACCTCAACAAAAAAATCACTCAATTCATTAAGTTTGTAGTTGTTCCCTATAGTACATTAGGTCCTCGTATGTACTCGTTAGCCCTAAAAAGGACATGGGAATCTAACGTTCGCACCCAGCCCCTATGGCCTTATCGGACGTTTTGTTTCTCAAGGTGAGAGTCGACGTACCTCTGCCTGCGACTGGGGTGTGTTACAATCGCAGGTTTCAGGGTAGAAGACTTCCCGGTCCCGAAGGAAAGAAGAACTTACTCTCCGCTTGTCCATTCCGAGTGGATAGGACTGCATTAAGCACCAAACCGTGGGCCAACCATAGGAAACCTACTATGCTCCCTAGAGAGAGAAGGCAACTCTATCTCCCCGAGTGTAGGAGCTCCTCTAGCGTCAGAACTTCCGTTTCCGCTACGGCCATAGTTTTGTTTAAAGTGGTATTTCTAACCACCCCCTAGAGGAACTCTGCCTTCGGTAAAGGTAACCGTCAACGGTACCGCCGAACAACAGGCCCACTCTAAGTTCTCGCCGGGAGCCTCACCACTAAGCCACTACGAATCCTTACCCATGTAACAATGGGCTTGGAACTTGGAACATTATGCTGCCCCGTAGTTCAGTTAGTTATGCACCCGCCCCCGTCTGGGCAGACAGGATCTGGTACTCTAACCCCTTTGTGCTACTGATCAAGCACCCGCCCCCGTCTGGGCAGACAGGATCTGGTACCCTAACCCCTTTGTGCTACTGATCAAGCACCGTTGTCCGCGGCTGACTCAAAAACCAACAAACCCTGACGCATTCGAGGGACTCTCTCGCCACTAATCAAGATGAGCTACATGTCCTTGATCTTGCAGTGGCATATGAATCTGGCGACGCGCTAAGCCGTGTTGCGGAGGCAAAGAGCGAGAAGTACATGGGGCTTCGCGACGTGCTTCGAGAGCGGTGCCAGAAGCCGTATTTTACGGCCAAAGGCATCGTGATCGGGGCGCGTGGGGCAATTCCGGAGGGCTCCAAGAGAGCCCTTCGCGACCTCGGAGTATCAAACCTCCCCAGGGTGCTCCTCACCATGTCTCTGATAACTCTGTGCTCTTCGCTGGCTATCGCGTGCAGTCATATGGACAGGGACAGATGGTTTATGCTACCTGTCAGGCATGAGCCGGCCAGTGAGTTGCCCCAACTGCTCCCCGACGACGATGGACCACGGCGAGGAAGAGGACATACGTAAGGACCAGAGGCGGCGTCGAAGAGAGGAGTGGCCGTCCGTCGCCGAAAAGGACCTCCCCGGACAGCGCGGACGACCCGAGGAAGGACGCCGCCGACGGATGATGATATCCCTGGGCACCCGCCCAGGTAATAGTCCTGTAAAAGGCGAAGAAAAGTGTAATCTTTGCTTCCTTCGTCCGATCTTCCATATCCACGCAGAGGTGCTTACGTTGATCATGCGCACAGGGAAACACGAATACTCCTTCTGTTTCTGAGAGTTTGCCACGCTCTCAAGGGTGCACCTTTATTTTGTTCCTGGAAACCCCCCCTTGCATCAAAAGGTTGGGGAGGTCTTAAGGAAATGTGCCATAGGACCTGGATTGAGAAGGGGAAGTGCCCGAAAACGCGAGGCCCACCTTTTCAGACTACAACCCCACGCCCCCAGCACACTGTACCACCCACTGTCACTGTGATCTATCCTTATCATACAACCGCATATTTCAAAAGAAAATAGAATTTGTTGGGCCTATGATCGTTTTTGGTCGTTCTACTACAAATTGCAGATTCATAAAACCAGAGATTCACAACAGAAATTTTCACAATTTAGTCGGTATGCAGTCGTCCCTCCCCCTGGTATGCACTACAAGTGTTCATGAAACCTCATTATTAGTTTTTATAATTGTAAAATGTAATTAATATTTAATAATCTATTTGTTTATTTTTTAACACTTTAGTTATTAAATTACTTTTTATTTTTACTATTGTGTTTGAAGGAAGACAGATATGAAGTGTATCATCAAATCGTGATGTTGCCCTATTTAATTTACTTTTGATTTAATTTTTGTTCAACCAACTTTCACGCATCATACAGGATTTTCTTTTTCGCATTAAATCTGAATACAAATCGCCGGTTTTAATCGACACACAGTTTATATTTTATAACAGGATTCGCAACCCTGCCTTTCACGCCCTGAATAAAATAAGCCTCCAGTGTATCCCTCGTGTTTTGCAATTTTATCCCGTTTTCTTAATAACATTGGCCAAAGAAAGAAAGAAATTACACAGGGGCTGAACGGAAACCAACATGTAGCTTATTATTCCAAAAGCGACCAAGGGGAGAGGCGAATCAGTGCGATGTCGTTGCACAAGTACAGGTTTTCGTCATTCCGCTTGGTTCATTCTCATGGTGGTAACCGGGTCACACACAAGTCCTTGTTTATAGATTTGTTTGACCGCTGTTTTGCAACGCGATAACAACGCCGATGCCATTTTCATCCTAAGATCATGACCATTCGAAACATATATCATTCCTATACATGTTCCTCTTTATCATCTAAAATTTAACAGAAAAAAATATGTACTTTAGAAGTACAATATTTTATAATAAAATATATTTTCTTTAGAATTAGAATATTTTATTTATATATTCATTTTCTAACTAAGAATTCTCTTTTCTCTAATAGAAAAGTTATGTTCGCTGTATTGAGTGAAGATATTCACAAAAACGTTAGTTTTCCTGGTTTTTAATAATTTTTCAATTTGGCTGTTTGGATAGGAAAATTCCAAACGAAAAGTAGAAAAATTACGTTAAAATCAAGATACACTACGTTTATCACTTTTTTGGGAGTAACACTCGCCCATTTAATTAACTTTTCATAAACTTCCAGATAATTCGTAATTCAACAGCATCTCACATTAATTTTGTCCATAATTAAATTTAAAAAAAAAATTTTTATAAATGAATATTATTATGTTTTAATTTAAAATATTCTTGATGACACTTGCATCTTTGGAAGACAAAACTTTTAACAATTTATTTGGATTATAGGATTTTTTTAAATTCACTTCTTGTCCGTAAATTAGAAATAAATTTTAACCTTAAATAATATGTACTAAGTCGTAAAGTATAGTGTGTTTATCTGCAGTGTTTTTCACAAAACTTATGTAAACAATACAGGATTGGACAGACGTTAATATTAAAACACATAAAATAATCAAATTCAAATCATAATCAAGACAAAAATTTTAACAATTTATCTGGATTATAGGATTTTTTTTTTAAATTCACTTCTTGTCCGTAAATGAGAGATAAATTTTAACCTTAAATAATATGTACTAAGTATAGTGTGTTCATCTGCAATTACGGTGGTTTTTCACAAAACTTATGTAAACAATACAGAATTGGACAGACTCTAATATTAAAACTCATAAAATAATCAAATCTCTATTAACAACTGATTACTAACCAAACTTTTATCATATAATAAATGTGTAAATAAATTTTGCAGAGAATTTTCCAAAAATGTCCCCCTAGCTTTGCGCTTTATTACGTTGCAGAACTTTCAAAAAGAAACAGTTTTTCTTAGCGATTATATACAACAAGAAAGCCTTTCCTATGTCAAACATGTCCGTTTTTCCATTTTACAAATATCTACGAAGGAATTCGATATTCTTTTAGAAAGGAATTCTTGGCCGGCCGCGCCATTTTTCGGCTTAGTATTCTCAAGACCTACTCTAACAAAATATGAAATTTAGAGTAAGTAACTTAATGAATATTTGAATTTATATTAAAAATTAATAAATTTATGTGACATAAGCAGTTTGAATAAGACGTAAGATAATTTTTTAAATATTTTTATACAAATGTAATACAACGCTTCCTTCCAAGAAGTTTTATTATAATATTATGACTTTTTTATCTGCAGTATTTATTTTTAATTATTATATTATTTACAGCTATATATTAATTACGCTTTCGTAGTTTCGCAGTGCGTGAGCTTTTCATAACACTGGATTAAAATATCCTGGGTACTTACGTCTCGAGAGTCGTTCCAAGACTGAAAAGTCCTTGGAGGCCGAAGAAGGTACTTGCGAGTCGGTGTGAGGTAACTTTTCTCACTCATTACACAAATATTAATGGAGCCCCCTCCTCTGGACCGGATTCCGAAAAGGTTTCCAAACGGCTAGATTTGAAATTATCCATCGCGGCTTATCCGGTGCGAAAAAAATTGATGTTAAAACGACGCGGGAAGGAATTTCCAAAGGATGACGAAGGTATTGAGTAGTCAAAACAAGAGTTTTGCGTTTTTCCTCATCCCGATAAACTGCCATTTTTACGTTACATCGGTGCGTTCGGGATCTAACCAAAAACTTGAAAAACATGAAGTTTTTTTTATAAATTAAAAGCTAAACCTATTTAATCGATACTCAGAAAGCCAAGACTGGCAGCAATTTCTCATAAAATCTCATGTGAAAAGAACTAAACGCCATTCATTAAATTTCTATCTCAGACAACCAGCGAAATTAAACGAACCACTATGACCAGCCGGTAACATTAAAGTCTCATTTTGAAAAGGACTTGGTAATATAGGAATACCAATAATGATAAAAAATACTCATTTAATTGAAGAATTTACGATTTTTCTCTATAGCCCCACAATAATAAAATCGAGCAGTATTTGCCAGAAATCAATATACTACCTAAAATTTTTTTTTCTCAGAAAACCAAGACTGGCAGCAATTTCTCATAAAATCTCATATGAAAAGAACTAAACGCCGTTCAATAAATTTTTATCTCAGACAACCAGCGAAATTAAACGGACCACTATGACCAGCCGGTAACGTTAACGTCTCGTTTTGAAAAGGACTTGCTAATATACCAATAATGATAAAAATACTCAATGAATTGAAAAATTTACTATTTTTCGCTAAGCCCCATAATAATAAAATCGAGCAGTATTTGCCAGAAATGAACATACTACCAAATTTTTTTCTCAGAAAACCAAGACTGGCAGCAATTTCTCATAAAATCTCATGTGAAAAGAACTAAACGCCATTCATTAAATTTCTATCTCAGACAACCAGGAAAATTAAACGGACCACTATGACCAGCCGGTAACATTAAGCTCTCAATTTGAAAAGGACCTGGTAATATACCAGGCATGATAAAAAAACTCATTTAATTGAAGAATTTACGATTTTTCTCTATAGCCCCACAATAATAAAATCGAGCAGTATTTGCCAGAAATCAATATAACCTATGACCAGCCGGTAACATTAAGGTCTCATTTTGAAAAGGACTTCGTAATATACCAGATAAAAATATTCAATGAATTAAAAAATTTACTATTTTTCGCTATAGCCCCATAATAATAAAATCGAGCAGTATTTGCCAGAAATCAACATACTACCTAAATATTTTTTTTTAAATAACGAATGCACAAAAAAGCTTCATCCGATATTCTTTTTATGTATTTTTATCTGTCAACAATATAACTAATACATCAAGCAGTGTATAATTATTGATTATACTCTCTTTTATACTATAAAAAATAAAGTTCTTCTATTCAGATGTTTAACATTTAGAAAATTTGTATACCAGGTTTTTTCTTTGTTTTTATCTCTGATGTAATTAATATCAGCCTTCTATATTATAATTTTATATTAAAATCCGTGATAAGGCCAATTTGAAACTTGGTAATATTTCTGATATAGAATGAGCATCATTTCCAACACCTGTCTAGTACCGTACAGTTAACCCATTCCATTTTCCCCAGTTACTGAAGGCAATTCCCTTTTTGCATATTTCCCTATCCATGTTGGTGTCCCTCAGGGCAGCGTTCTGGCCCTCACACTTACCAGATATACCAGCTAACATTCAATTACAACCTACAGCCACCAGCCTACAGTAATGCTCTTTATTAACTCTGATCCTGACATTTCCACTCAAAACGTCCAACAACTCACTACTAGTCTTGCTGTGAAAAGAAAACAATAAATTTTAAAAGAGATAAATCCATAGCCTTCACTCTCCATTAAAATATTTCCCCTCCAATCTATTTAAATAATTAAATTCACTAATTTCGTGGTCCGCTTGACCAATTAATATATTACAATTAATTAAGGTTTTTAGATGAGATAAAAAAGTCAATGGCACGAGCGGGATTCGAACCCACGATCTTCGGCTAGATATGCTGCTGTTCTACCACTTGAGCTATCGTGACCTCGATCCACTCGGACACTAACTTCCCATCTCAACCCCACCTTTTGAATTTTCCCTCCTTTTTGCCATTTTTCAATGTTAGTGATGAAGATCGTGTATTCGAATCCCGCTCGTGCCATTGCCTTTTTTTCTTAACTAAAAACCTTAATTAATCGTAATATTTAAATTATATTCCCATCCCGCTGCGGGCAAGATGCGCTACCGCTCACGATGAAGACATGATGTGGAATCCACACACAGAACTGAAATGTCAAGAAGTTGACATGACACTGTTGCACAACTTCTCGACAAATGTTTTGATTCTCTTAAAAGTAAAAGACTGCTTTACAACGCAACAGTTATGCCAATATTGACTTACAGGCTGGAAGTGTGTGTTCAGCCAAGCTTCCAACATCTGCCGCATTCAAACCGCCCAATCCTTAATCCTACAAAAATTCCTTGATCTCCATTTTATTTATTGAATGTATATGCACATACAGACTTAAATATTCCTGTCTTCAAAAGGAAATCTGTTACCACAAATTTCACAAAACCCTCCCCATCCAAAACTCATTAATCAGCCTACCCAAAAACTCGCATTCTCTTGAACCTTCCTCGCCGACTGAAGAGACTATGGCTGTGAGACTCCTGCACAGTGACAGTGAAAATAATATTGACACAAGTATTAATTAATCAGACCACATTTTGGCATCATTGGGTACTAGCAATGGGTTTTTTCTCCACTCTAGTTTTTAATTTTGTACTTATTTCATTGTTACGTGTTACTGCATTGAAGGTAGTTGTAACATACTGCAAATACAATATTGTAGAGTTAATAAAAATAAAGAATTATCAAATGGTTGATTTAGTTTGCTGTAAATATAAATCATAACTTCATTATTCTTCAATAATATAAAAAGATGCTCATATTTGTGAGCCTTGTAAATTATTAATAATTGTGTCAAGCAAGTCCTAATATAATGTCCTTCCTGAATGTTCTTACATTGTTAAAATAAATTGTCATGATTATTTTGCATAATCAAAAATAAAACATTGATGGAAAAAGTTTGCTTTTTTGTTGATATTCTTAACTGTATTATTTAAACTGGACTATTTGTTTTGCGTTTTTAATTGTAATTCAGCCGGTGATTTGTGGTAGAGAAGGTTGATAAATAATGAACAATGTTTTTGTTTTAATACAATGTGTTTTGATTCATGAAGATGAAAAATACTTTGTTGATCACAGTTCAAACCGTATCTCCTTTTTTCCATTAAATAAAAAAAAGAAACATAATGAGCTTGTTTTTTAAATAATTGCATAGATTTTATACAAAATAAATTTTATAGAAGTGATGATTAAAATAAATTAATATTAATAAAGTCTTTTATAACACAGTTAAAAAAAAATAAAAAATGTACATTTAATATTGACTGAAGGATAATACTTGACAGTTTCCATTAAAAAATAATACATTCTCAATTTTAACAGAGCAATATTTGAATAATAAATATTATTACAAAATTGAACAAGATGACTTTTTAAAATTGCCTAAACACTCATCGGGTCCCAAAACCTGGAGGTCAAAATCTGTGTCTCGACTATTTTATACTTATTTTTAAATACTTTCTTCCTACGGATCTTATTGACACACCACTTCAACCACAACGAATTGGTAACGGTATGCTGGAAAATCAGTAAATCAGTTACAGAGATGAATCTAACAACAATTTTTTAATTATTTATTGGGAAAAAGGAAAATATCAAGGTTCAAAGGAACATGCAGATCTACTGGAAAAAAGACTGTATTAAGTAGTAACAAATATTATCAATGTACAAAATGTCAACCCACAATAATACCATCTATAATTTTTAAAAATGAATTTAAAAAAATAAAATATTTTAAATATATACAATTTTAGTCTTGATTTATATACATGACATTATTGTGCACTGGTCAATATAAATGGGTTTTCTTCTGCTTGATTTAAAGTAATTTGCAAAAGGTCTTACCTCAATTATTAGGGAAATGACCAGATTCACTATTACTAAACCGAGGAGTACCAGCCTGAATTTGACTGTGTCGTCGTATAAAAAGTTTTCCAACTCGAAATACTCTGTCAGCAAGTGGAACGGCACAAAGAGAAGGGTGATATTGAAAACAATCAACCCTATGACAGTGATCATAAATAGAACTGAAACAAAATTTACAGTTACTTCAGATAAATTGGCAAAATGAACTATCATCATTCTATCACAAAATAATTAGACTGATAAAATCTGCACCAAGAAAAGATCAGTAAAATTTTGGAAACACAACTGCTTGTTTGGATAAACTTGACTGCATAAAATTGTTATAACTTATTTCTTTAATATAGTCTCACATGTTATTGTTCCAATTTTTCATTTATTTGTTTAAATTAGACAATAAATGTAGGGGATTGGAAAATTCTATCACAAAACATAAACTGACAATATATACCACAATATACCAGTGACAGAACTGAAAATATGAATTTTTAGGTATACAACTTCATGTTTAATTGGGCCCAGAAAATGAATTTATTCAGGCAATAATTAAGTGGACAATTTTCAAAGAATAATTTTGCACAGAAGTTCAAAATTCAGCTCACATCATAATAGTTTTTTAAAATATAAATTGACCTCAATATGGCACGTTAAATTAAATTATTAAAACTAATTTCCCTAATTTACTCTCACGTTATTTTTAAAGTTTGGCATTTGTGTGAAGAAAATGGGAAAATTCTACCCAAAAAACCGAAAAAAAAATCTCTATGACAGACTTGAGAATACTGCATTAATTTGGGCAGTGGACCAATCCAAAATGTTTCTGAGACTTCTTTCTGAGGAATAGTAATCAAATAATGAAGTGGGTAATTGGAAAAATAATATTCATAATTTTCTCTATCAAATGGGACCATGTATGGAAATAGTTGTAAATATATGTATGTGTATCCTCAAATGACATGTTCGGGGCATTGCTATGATTGTAAAATTAATGTCACAAAAAAATGCATGTTGGTCAATTTCACCAAAGCTTAAACTAGAACTAAAAGCCAATATTTTTGTCTTCTTGTTTTAAGCATAAAATCAATCAGAAGACTGGATAGCCTCTGGAAATTTGTTATACTTTATAACAGCTTTTACCCTCCAAGGTACAAAAATAAGATTTTTTAAATTACGGATGGTTAAGATGGATTTTTTTTAAATGAGTTACAGTTAGACCAAAATATCTATAAACTAATTGACATAAATATAATATACATTTATAAATAGGCAGGAATTAAAAATTAAGAGATTTCCTCTTGGGGTCTGCGTTGTGATGAGCCTGTAGGTTGATCGTGTCCAATTCTATTTCGGTCTGTCAGGTGCGTTTAGGCTTCTCGTCATCTTCAGCTTTTTTCTATATATATGCAATTGAAAACCGAAGCAAAATACCTGCCACAAAATAAATTCGATAAATCCATTTCCAACTTACAATTGTTGTAAATCGATTCTCTGTGCGGTTTCCCCTTGGAGTATGCGACCGAAATAATCACGTATTGAAAGCAACTGATTATAAAAATAGTTGTGTTCTCCCAGCAAAGGACTTCCGTGTTGCCAAAATCGACTTCTATTGGACGAAACCTAAAATAATGAACGATTTAGCGATGTCCATCACGAGTCGGATGTGAACGGTTTACCAGTGCTCCGTCCGCAGCAAGTGGAGGCTGATAACCTGTATCACGCTCGAAAGCCCGACCTGAAGAAAGAGAGGGATGATGTTGGACGGAGAGATGAGCGTACTTATAGGCCTCTGCGGCACGATAACGTCCGAAGGTTTGGATCTGCCCATGACCACTGCCAAAGACGTCGTGATGACAAGATCCACATAGAGAAATTGCATCGTACCGAGTTCGATTCCATCCTGAAAGTTAAACGACTTATGAGTGTCAAAAAGTCAATTATCTGCGTCTATTTATCAATTATCCTTACCAGATATAATATTAATACTGACGTAAATTGGATGAGGCTGTACATAGCCATGAAGTTGAATAAACCGAAGTTGGTGACTAAGGCACATCTTCCTTCAAGTATAAGTGTTGGTACACATGTAACGTCCGGTGTCGACGATGTGAAAGGGGCGGCGATCGAAGCTTCTGCTGCAGAAATCGATATACCGATGTGTGCAGTTTTAAGCGCCTGTGTTAAGACATGTGTAAGTCGTATAATGAGAGGTGTTATTTTCGAAAAGTAATTACCCCGCAATCGTTGGCACCGTCGCCGACCATGGCGACAATGTAATCCAAAGATTGGAGCGTCTCCACGACGTGGGCTTTCTGCTGCGGCGACATCCTCGCGAAGATGACACTCCTCGTAGCGACTTGAGGCACCAGACCTGGAAAATTTTCGTTCAACTCGGTCCAAGTGGTGCCGTCCACTGCCAACGACGAAGAAGCGTCGATCTGAAACGAGATTTTTCAGTTTATGAGCAAACACAATGGAGAAAAACACGTACTTCAACGTGTTCGGAGGAAGAATGAAGAGGATGAAGTTTGACAGTTCGGGGCTCGGTGGTCGTCACGACCACTTGAGACAAAGGCGTCGATGGCAGGAGCAGTCCGCAGTCCCTGCTCACACTCACAGCGGTCAACATGTTGTCTCCTGCAAATTCAACCCCTTGTTTAGAAATTCTTTTACAACTTTACACAGACATTCACCGGTCAGCATGAGGCACTTGATCCTAGCCTGCTGCAACTGTCTTATCACCGGTGCAGATTGTTCCTTCAGCGTGTTCCTCATTATAAGAAGTCCGAGAAACTCCAAATCGTTTTCCAACTTTAAAAATAATAGGTTTATGTTTGATTATGTTTTTGCTTTGACAATTTATACCTGTTCTCTCTGGATACGTTGCACTTGAAGCCAATTCATCCTAGCCGGCAGCTCCTTGTATGCAAATGCAATGACTCTATATCCAGCCGACGTGTAATATGATAGAGTGATTGTAATGTTGCTGGGCACTTTAAAAGACAGCATTAGCTTTACTATTTACCGTAATCTTAAGATCTGCCGTAATTTTAAAATTTACCAGACTTAGGCTTGCACATGCTCAAAACCCTTTCGGGAGCTCCTTTGGTATAAAATGTGTAGTTCTTAGCCGCGAGCTGTCGCGCTATAACAGACATGGTCTGCACATTTGAATTAAAATGGAATTGACGGACGATACCTATCTCCAACGGCACGTTAATAGAAGCAGTGTGATCTAACGTCTGCAACAAGGAATTTTTTCCGTTTGCGAATGTCAGTTTTTAAGCCAGACACCTATGCATTACCTAGTTCCAACTACTAACATTTACAAACTGCCACCGCATCGGCTTCACGATGGTCGGCGTCAGCTGGTCGAATCTGTTCACCTCCAATCCGGGCTCTACCAGGTCCTATTTTCCAAAAATATTTATTTATAATGCGTCAAATTTGTTTGTGTGATTGGTGTGCAGTACCCATTCCGTCGATTTGAACATGCTGAGGTCTAAAGGGTCGCCGCAAAGCTCTCCTTCTATTTTTGTAAGGGAGTGACAGGACGCCATCGCGTGAAGTAGCGGCGACATGATCGGCAAAGATTCTGGTTTTTCTTCTATTTCGATCATGGAACGCCCATCAGACGTCAACACTCCCCAAACGGACAAACCTTCTTCGGTCAGTGTACCCGTCTGTAATTAAAACAATTTATTGTTTGCTGAACCCTATACAATCGTCACATATTGAGCAGCCATTTACCTTATCGAAACAGACTAGTTTTACTTTTCCAGCGACATTGATTCTAGGCGGTGAAGTGCAAAAGATTCCTTTCTTCTTGAGACGATTTTGAGCATACATCGTCCCCACAGTCATAGCAGCTGGTAAAGCAGGAGGCACTACGATTGTAACTATATCTAGACTTCTAAGCAACACTGTCTCCCAGTCTGACTGCAAATTTTTAGAAAAAAGTCAACGCTTTTGCTTTTGCAATCATAACAAGACAAACTCACTCCATGATTTATAAAGAGATACATTGAGCAGATAACGCCGACCAGAGATATGAAAAACATTACGATTATGTATTTGATAGCGTCCCTGTAGAAGTCGAAACCGAATCCTTTAGGAAAAATTATTGATCTAACAAGCTGGCCTTTCGCAGTCATGCTGCCGGTGCGAACCACTAATGCCAAAACCTGAAGGTCCAAACAAGGTCAGCGTTAATAAATGTTTGGAAAACAATTATTTCCTTAATACATACTTTATCATGATTGTAGTACCTAGTCTGTATTATCTGGGTACCGCAGTAGAGCGTGTGCTTAGCGTGGAGGATCCCTGGATCGTAGTCTTCGTCTGTATGCGGAGGAGGGATTTTCGTTACGGGAACACTCTCACCTGAAAAATCGGCTGTGTAATGCAAGTCAGTGAGAGTTTAGAAAGTAGATTACCTGTCAAAACAGATTCGTTCACGATACAAGACCCAGTGACGAGCATGGCATCACATGTCATGAGGCAGCCTTGCTTCGGAATGGAAATTATATCGCCAGGAACCAGCTCCGACGAACTGATCAACTGCAGTGCTGTACATGTCAAAACATTAAATGCACTGTTTACTTATTTTAAAGAAGTCGTGACTCACTTCCTTTATCATCAAGGACAATAACGTAGTCGTCTCTAGGAGGTGCTACCATTTTTTTCAACATATTGTTTTGCTGGAAAGACCATCTGGAATGATTTATACTGACGTTACAGCGTCTTAGATTACTCTTACCCGTTTTGTGTTGTAAAGAAGGACCATTATCGCCGAGGCGGACATGATCACGACGCAAATAGCGTAATGGTAATACTCGTCGAACGTCCACAGTATTATGCTTAAAATTTCGAAGACGTAAAACGGGTTCAGTACTTCGTTGATGAGCAGCTTCCAAACCGACGTTTCCTGAAGTTTTATTTCATTGCTCCCGTACGTCTCGATACTGCAAGAAAGATATGACAGTAAACGAGATACTGAGTAGACGCGTTGAAACTCACTCGATATTCCTCTGTTCTTGCGAGATACCCTGCACAGAACTTATAAGATTTTTCAAAGAGCCTGTCTTTCCGACCAGTAAGATGAACGAGGTGGTTTGTACGTGCCACACGTACCTCTGGAGCTGGTAGTCGAAATGCCGTTCGGGTTTGTCCACGACCGGGCACATCGTTACTTTTCCGAGCTTGTCCTGTCCAGAAATGTAAGTTAGCTTATTAAGAAATAGTACAAAATCTACCTCTTTACCTTGACGAGTATGGTGTCTGCGTCTTGCAAAAGTGCACGTCGATATCCCAAGATGGCTTTCAGTTGGGGATACCACTGGACGAAAAGGTAGAGAATACCCAACGACAAGATGTAAAGTACGTAGAGCACGAACATCTGGGACTTTGACGTCTTGTACGCCTTGCACTTGACTTTGCCGGCTCCCGTGTCGAGAGACTGAGACGAACCGTCATAAAACGGTTCATATTCCCAGCGGTCTATAATTAATCCTTTATTATTAAACCTTTTCCTTTTTGTCGTTGTCAACAGCGGATGAGAATTTCAATAAAATTGTATAAAAAAATATAGAAGGTTGATGGGGGTTTATTAGTGAAGAAATGGGACAATTGATTAAATCCTGATATTTTTTGTACTGATAGCCTTAAAACCTACTAGCCAGTTTTTCCCATGTGTACTGAAGCAATTGATTTGATTGTAATTTGTTTGATTTTCGTAATCACGATAGTTTTTTTACACTCCTGTGAGGAAGTCGAAATCTTCAGTTATCTGGTTGTGTCAATACAAGTCGTCATTTGGGCATCGCACATGTTCAATTTCCCATCTTCAGTCTTGTTTCGCTTTTTTAATGTTGACAATCGTGTCGACAATAAAAGCGTACGACGTCCATGCTTTGTCAGTTTGCACAAATTTTTGAAAGAGATATCTTAACAAGGTCAACGCGACATTTCAAAACCACGCATGCCTATGTCTTCGGCCTAGAACAGTTCATCAAGGACAAAACAGGGAAAAATCGAGATTCTGACTTTAAGCGAGCTTTGCCAAATTTTATTTTTGGGTTTCTAATAAATTATTATTAATTAATATCAATATGAGTATATTGTTGTTTATTGCATTTCTTTATCAGTCGCTTGATTATCAGATCATTACTACTGTAATAAGATCGAGTTTATACAGTCCAATTTTTAAAGCTAGAAACTAATATGAAATACGATAGGCAGGGCTTTTACAAAATTGAGTAAATTAATACAATTAATAAAATCAGTAAAATAAAAAGAATATAACGTAATACATTGCCCTATTGCCGAATGTTTAATATATTTAAATTTTTCAATAATCAAACGTTCAACGTAGATACCAGAACTTATCAGCTGAATGATTCAAAATAAGAATATTTAATTACAAAATTGTAATAATCGATTTGACAAAAGGTACAAAGATACTGATTGCGCAAACACGAGAGCCTCTTCATCGGAAAAAAAGTGATTTTTTTTTGTTTAAATATCATGATTTTCCGTCCTCAAAAATTGACATGGAATACTCACAGAGTCGTCGGTTTCGATTTCCATACTGCGACATGCCTGGGAGGACTCGGTGCCGGTCTCCTTCCAGTTCTGCGGAAGGCCTCGGCCGAAACCGGTCGGGTAAGCCGTCACGACTGCGGTATTTTCAAACGTCAGACGATATCAACTCGTCGGTTGTCGTGTCGGTTGAAATGCGACGTCCGACCATTTCCAATCTTTTGTGCGTGCGCGCGCGAGTGTGTGTGTGTGTGTGTGTGTGTGTGTGTGTGTGTGAGAGAGAGAGAGAGAGAGAGAGAGAGAGAGAGAGAGAGTGTGTGCGTGCGTGTGTGTGTGTGTGTGTGTGTGTGTGTGTGTGTGTGTGTGTGTGAGAGAGAGAGAGAGAGAGAGAGAGAGAGAGAGAGAGAGTGTGTGCGTGTGTGTGTGTGTGTGTGTGTGTGTGTGTGTGTGTGTGTGTGTGTGTGTGTGTGCGCGCGCGCGCGCGCATCGCGCCTTTTGTTTGCGCTGAGAAGCGAAACGCATTTTCGACCGATCCTCATACAATCTCGGCCCTAACCAAATACAAGATTATTAAAAACAACAATACAAAACACCCAAACAGTTCGCACAAGACGTGAAAATGTCAACAAAAACGCGTCTGATAACAGGCTAAACCGTGAGATCCCAACATAAGAAATGATACCCAAGTTCGCTATAAATGATAGGAAAAGAATTTCATTTCAACAGATAAGCAACAACTTCATGTTATTTGAAGGTTTAGCTTTGACAGATTGGTCGTATATTAATTTTTTTATATTTTTACTTAACTAAGATTTTGAATTAGATTCACTATTTTTCGTGCTCCGCTTTATAAATATCTCAACTTAAAAACCTTAATTAATTGAATTTTGAATTAGATTTTCACTGTTGTTCATAATTTTTTGGTGTGATCTCGCAATCAATTCCAATTTTCTTATGTTCTTCTATTGTTCATTCAAATTCAACCCTGTCAATTGGCGATCAAACATAAAACGACCAGTTGTACCAAGGAACACTTTTTCCTCTTCTGTTTATGGTTGAGGTGGTTCTTCGGTGGCACTCATCAATCAAGAATTGAAATTGTATGCCCTTAGATCCAGCAGTGTTTTATTTACTTGGAATAGCTTGGAATAGCAATACTTTGTGAAAAGCATCATCAAAGGCAAATACAACAGTCTGTATATATTTATTATTAATTTGGCACTGGTTTTACATATTGTTAAGAGCTTTAATTGTGAATAAACTAAAACAGTTTATTTGAGCTATGCCATAACCATCCCTAACCATCTCTAAACCTTTTCCAGTCACTCGTAGAAACAAAATACAAATTATACCTTACCTAGATAGATAGGTACAAGTGTAGTTTAGTGCATCGTCAATGTTGTTTTTATGCTTCTCTATAATTTTCTGTGTTAGGGTGAGCATGTTGTTTAAACTTTCTCACAATTTATGGCTTTCAATTATCCGGATTTCAAGTTTAAAGTTCATTCCCAGTTGAAGCCTTATGATGAACTTTAAGCTTGAAGTGATTAAAAAAGATTTTCTAGGTTGATACCCAATCACATATTGGTATTCCATTGCCTTGGATTTTCGACCGGACGGGGCTTAGCAATTGGAGCAAAATATCCTCAAACTTTGGAGCTGTCTCAAAAGGCAGGAGAAGCCATCTTGACTCAACACTGGTATTCAAAATGATGACATTTTATTCAGATGTTTCATACGTAATATTGATGCCATCATCTATTGGAAAAATCTTGCAAAGAAAGAAAAATCCATGAGACCGAGATGAACCCTGATCCTTTGATTTTCCGATAAAACCTTATCCTCAATCTATATCCTCCAACCTGAACAGTTTATCCAACGTATTTGTCTTTTGGAGGTGAAGCAAGCCAGATTGGATCTTGAGTGTTTAGCTTTACCGTCCAACTTTTAAACCATAATCCGATATCATCTGTGAACCAGATCATCCTTAACCATCCCTAAATATAGGAAATGTGTTGTAACACGTTTTAAGCAGATATAAAACGAATAAGAGGACCTGAGTCGAAAAATATCAACTGTTTTTTCTGCTAATCTGCTTTTTAAAAATAAAGGCTGGTGTTCTTCAGGGAAGCGTTCTAGGACCAATGCAGTCTGCTTTATCAGAGTGATAGGATGTCAGTGGCCGCAAGAGGTAAAGCGTTTACTCGACTCTCATCACTCTAAGGTAGTGTCCAGCGGCAAACACGGTACCCACCTCAGTTGATATGACCTCTACTGTTGCGCACCCCCGTAGAACAAGAAAAATATAGTGACATTCGTAGACATCACTGTCTCTGACACTTGACATTGAAGCATCGACCAGAAAACTTAAAATTTGAGCAACCTGGTTGACAAGATTGGAAAATAAAAATAAATGATCATAAATCTGCCGACTCTGGATCAAGGTATTGTCCTAAAGAAGAAAGCAAGTTGTCACTGCTAAGCTTTCGACCTATTTTAAGGTTATCATCAGGGCAAAACAATATTAAATATGTCTACACGGATTGACATATTTAAGCTTTTTACAGGCGATCACAAATTTCCCTGAAGACCGACCGTCCCAGCATTGCCAACGATTGGCTAGACTGAACACAACATTCTCACGACGATTAGACAAACGATAAAAAAATGTCGCTTCGCAACAAATGACCGATATACAATGCGCAGTAAAGTAATTTCGGGGATCAATCAAACATTTGAACTACCGTCGAATACAGATTTCCCAATCCAACATCCTTCTATGTATACGATTATATAATACATAACGATCTTATGAAAGATGTCGTAAAATCCCGGTACACAAAATTCCACAAATACATTTCACCACAATCCCTTAGTCCTAAACTTAATATCCCGTACTTTTCAATTATCCTCCCAAGAGATCAAAGTCATCGAGACCTAATGGGCAGTGGGCTTAGCGTACAAGGATCATTGATTCTAGTGCTAGATTGTTTATTTTATTAAATTCACTATTTTTCGTGGTCCGCTTGACCAATTTATCTCAACTTAAAACCTTAATTAATTGAATGTTTATTTTATTTTGTTTTACTTATTTTTTTGTTAAATTACCAGATTTTGTTTTAATTCATTTTTAATATATACAATATATACAACATAAACAATTTAACTTGTGGTACATTCAAATAAATACTGTTGTACAAAAAAAATAAATAAATGGGTTTGCTTTACTATTTTCAGATGCTGAGAAGAAAATATTTAAGTAATTCTATGAATAAATAAAATCTACAGTGTAAAATGAGTGCAATGATAAAGGAAATAATTAAATCTCCAGCATTGCTGTTCAGAAAATTGTTATCACATTAAAAAAAAATAATAATAATAATAAAGTTGTAATAATTGTTTGTTATGTAAAATCATTACAAAGTATGTGATGTAGATATTTATTGTATGTATGACAGCAAATGATGATTTATTTTCATCAAAGAAAATATTGATCAAAATGGTTTTTCGTCATTTAAAGTATTGATGTGAAATACTATTTTAAGATAATTATTACAGAAAAACATGGAGGAAACGAACTAATAAACCCTAACTTATCTTTTTCCTCACTGAAAATTAAGAAATTCTTATTGTACTTCTAAATTGATAGTTGGACTTTTTCGTATTTTCCGATTCTGTAGAGACTATAGCCATTTTCCTAACAACAAATATTGATTTCTTTATAGTTTCAAATTAATTTACATTAATTCATTCATTTACAAGCAAATAGCAGTGCAATGATCATCTGCGGATTTTTCAGTACCGAAAATATAAATATCTTATATTTCACGTCAAATAAAATCTCGTTTTATTTATAACATACTAAGCCAATGGATTCATTATTAAAAAAATAATTGGAATTAATTAGTATGAATTATAAGCAATAACGCAATTTAGGAAGTGTTGTTATGATGCAAAGCGGTAAAGAGTGCAAGGTTAAATGTTGTTTACATGTAAAAATCATTACGTCGACAATTATAATTAAAAATATACGAGTATATGGCCATTATGATGTAAGTTTTTATCCTTTTTATGTCAGCAAATAGTTTATCTAACATCGGAGAAAATATTGATGAAATTAATCTATTAATAATTTAAAATAGTCGAATCTGGAATATTATTTTTCAATAATTACAGGGAAAAAAATAAATGGGAACCAAATTTTAAATTCTAACATATTTTTTTCATATTTGAACCCTGAATTACTGTGGCAATATTGAACGTTACTATATTTTTATTCATTTTTTTAAATTTTGTCTGTTGGAAATTGGCGTAATTTTGTATTCGACTCACCGAATTTTTTCATCAAATAACATCGAAGAAAATATTGATAAAATTAATCTATTAGTCATTTAAAGTATCGATCTGGAATATTACTTTTCAATAATTACTGTACGGAAAAAAATACATAGGAACCAATTTTAAATTCGAGCATATTTTTTAACATTTGAACCCTGAATTATTGTAGCAATATTGAATGTTTCTATATTTTTAGTTTTTTTTTCTGGTTTTGGTATGTTGGAAATTGGCATAATTTTGTATTCGACTCACCGAATTTTCTCTTCAAATAACATCGAAGAAAATATTGATAAAATAAATCTATTAGTCATTTAAAGTATCGATCGGGAATATTACTTTTCAGTAATTACTGTACGGAAAAAAATACATAGGAACCAATTTTAAATTCTAACATATTTTTTTCATATTTGAACCCTGAATTACTGTGGCAATATTGAATGTTTCTATATTTTTAGTTTGTTTTCTGGTTTTGGTATGTTGGAAATTGGCGTGATTTTGTATTCGACTCACCGAATTTTCTCGCCTTGGTCATATTCCCCGAAATTCCAGCACGATTCGGCACGGCGTACAATTCTATCAGGGCATCTTTGACTAGACTGAGGAGAGCCCCGGCTCGGATCGTAGGGATCGACGTTATCTTAAGATAAAGACGTCCATTAGCTACTGTTTACTATCGGAGATACGACGTGATTAGGAATTATTTTAGCCAAAAACCCGCTTTCATAATTCGAGAATCTATTATGGAACTTTCCGCAAATTCGCCTTTCACTTGGGGCGGAGATGGTCTTCCGCCCCCGGGGGAAAGTGGTTTATTTTGAAAGCGGACGGATTATCTTACGATTGTGCACAGTGGATATCGTCAAAACAAACCGAATTTCGATTTATTTTTCAAGAGCACACAGATAAAGTGAAAATCGAATACAATCTGAGTTTTAACATAAGTTAAATAATTTTTGTGCAAAGTGAGACATTTTTTCTTTTTGCAATAAAGCATTGAGCAAGGATGTAAAACAAATATGACTAATTTTTTGCACTCGAATGACTAAACTCCAAACCATGTATAACTAAAAATTAAATTAATTATTTTGAATTAATTAAGGCTTTGGTCGAGATAAAAAAGTCAGTGTCACGAGCGGGATTCGAACCCACGACCTTCGGCTAAATACGCCGCTGCTCTACCCCCTCCGACACCAACTTCCCATCTCAACCCACCGTGATCCATTAAAGTTCGTGGTCCTATTGACCAAATAACTTCTTTCAATTAATTAATCTTTATGTAAGGTATTGGTTGAGATAAAAATTGGCAAAAAGAAGGGAAAATTCAAAAGTTGGGTTGAGATGGGAAGTTAGTGTCCGGATCGAGGTCACGATAGCTCAAGTGGTAGAGCAGCGGCGTATCTAGCCGAAGATCGCTGGGTGGGTGGGTTCGAATCCCGCTCGTGACCCTGACTTTTTTTATCTCAACCAAAGCCTTAATTAATTGAAAAGAATTTATTTGGTCAATCGGACCACGAAACCTAACAGACAGATTAAATTAATTGTTTGAACTATTCAGTAAGAGAAAAAGTCTGAATTTAAAAAGAAATTCAAGGACATTCCTTGGCAAATTACCACCATGATAAATAGACACAAAAATAAAAAAAACAGCTGATACGTAATTTTTACAAAACTGTTATCAACCGGAAACCACTTTTTTCTCTTTGTTTCAGGTTAAAATGTCAAGTTTTGTTCAATGATTCTTGCCCTGCTAGAAGTAAATAACAAAATTTCAAAATAATTGAAAATGAGGATCACATTGACCATTTAATAATCGAGCTATATAAAACTATTACATTTTTATAATCGGCTTACACAATTTATACGGCCAATTACATAATAATTGATTTAAACAAATGTCAACTACTGATTATAAATAGTCATAGATAGCCCTATCTGCGAGAGTGTAAAAACGAGATAAACTGTGTGCCAGATTCTTCGCAAAAAATAAATATGGAGTGTGGCATCCTTACCTATCGTACTTTTTAAACGTTTGAAATATCTTTCTTCATAAGTGTAACTACTTCATTACAAATCACCCCTCTCTCTTTCATATCTTTCTTTCTCTCTTTCTCTCTCTCGCTTACTCACTCTCTCTTTCGCGCTTTCTCTCTCTCTCTCTCTCTCTCTCTCTCTCTCTCTCTCTCTCTCTCTCTCTCACTCACTCACTTACTCACTTTCTTCCTTCCCTTTAATTCTCTCTTACTTTTGCACGCTATCACTTTCGTTCTCTCACTATCTCTACTCTCTCGCTCACTCACTCTCTCTCTCTCTCTCTCTCTCTCTCTCTCTCTCTCTCTCTTTCTTTCTCTCTCTCACTCACTTTCTTCCTTCCCTTTAATTCTCTTTCACTCTTGCACGCTATCATTATCGTTCTCTCACTATCTCTGCTCACTCACTCTCTTTTCATTCCTCAGCCACACTCACTCCCATTCTCTCTTTATCTCTAAAGAGTGCAGATCGTCTCAAATCCAGATGGCCAAGAAAGCTCAACAATGATGAGTCAGTGGTTGTAAACAAAGAAAACAGCCATTGAAAATCGCGAAAGCCTGAAAAGCGTCTGAATGACCAAACCAGGGAGAATGGGCGAACATGAAAGACCGAAAACGACCCAGTTACAAATCAACAAGGAGATTATCACTAAGATGATCATAAGAATAGAAATATTTTAAAAAACGATGATTTTAATTGACTCAACCATCCCGTGAGCCAACATACTACTCCAAAAATACGTAAATTAGATTAATATGTTATGTTTCTTCTGTTAAATATATAATTTTTAAACACAAATGTTTAGAAATTATGTTAATTTTAATCGGAAAATCCATAATAAATATTCTAAACTTGGTGGGGTTTTAAGGAAAAACAGGTCGGTTTTATCTTACGTCCATGCGTCCTTGGAATTTGTTTTTCACCAAGAGGAGATACGCCAATAAAAAATAAAAAATCTCGAAAAACAGAAAAGACGGGGATATTCCCATCATTATTAAGGCAAACTTCGGCACAATCTATCATCGATTTCAATATAAGGGACGCCTTGGGACTTAAATGAACTTCCATCGGATTTAATGCCGACTCTGATTCGCCCTCTTGGGAATCACTGTGATACTGTGGGATACTGTGAAATAAGATATTAAGTTTTGCGTTTGAATTAAGGCCGATGGAGAAAATCAACTTGAAAAATATAAATTTTCCGACATTAAGAATCCATATCAATATCTGCAATTGATGTTCCTCTTTTCTCTCGTCGTCCATCGTCAGCGAAGATCAGTCAAATTTTTTTCGAATCTACTTCCCTGAATCTTCTGTGGTGAAAAGATTGAATTATTATTATTACAATCCAGCTTAAATATAGCTATATATACTAAGTAATAGAAAAGCCTAAAGACATCTCAGTAACCCGATGCTCTCCGATCATCTTGACGTATCTCATATCGCAGGATTTTGTCTTTCAGACAGGTTTCGACATGCCCGTCATTCATAAATGATATAGTTTATTTTTGAAAGTTAATTATTGTTGTTTTAACAAATCATGCGGTTTCGGCATGCTTGAGTCAGGTCAGGTCGGTCAACAATCGGTCGTTGTTTTGGCTTCCTAAGGGGAGTTTCGGTAAAGATATGCCAAAGGGTGGAAAAGGGCATAAGGAACAGGATAATCACATCCACCTTGGGCGAGGCGACATCCGGGGGATACCTTCAAGGATCTTTAATGAGCCCAAAACCTGGTGGAACAATGCCAAGGTATGAGGCAGCCGAAAGACGAACCAGGTTGGACTCATGTCAGGGCACTGCCTCTTAAAAAAGCACACGCACCGGATAAGAGTACAGACAGAAGAAACACTGCGCTAAGGCTGCTTCCCGCCATTTGCATATCAGTTAAGAGATGGCTTGGCTAGATGGGAAAAAATTTTGTGTAACTCTATTCAGGGACGACTGAACAGGGAATTTTTTCCATCGGTCTCATGCCGCTTACAGAAGAGCCACCTGTGAATGAACTACAGGCTTACTCAACTCCTGACAGGACATAGAAAATTGGCGGAGTATCTCTTTCGCTTTAATATTATCCCCGACCCAGCTTGTTCTTGCAGTCGGGCGCCTTCTCAGATTGTGGATCACCTTCTTCTGAAGTGCGATGGAGTGACGGCGGCCAGGCTTCCGTTGTTGCAACACATGGTGACCCGGGGCTTAGTAAGATTTTCCAGCTCTATCGTCTCATTAAAGACGTCCACCAAAACTGTATTACTCTTGACTCGGTGGACACGATCTATCATATTTTGTCGTCTAAACAGATAATCAGGTTTTATTTTTTGCTCCTTTACTATTGGACTGAGTCATTTAAGAAGAACCTCTTAAAAATTTAGAAAACAAAAAGACCTTGCGATCTTGTTTAACCTAGTTTAGGCATTATCTCAGCGCACTATCAAAATTGGAGTATTGATGATACGGATGATCCGTACTACAAAAAGATGAACTGAACCATATTTTTTGCCATACTTTCACTGACAAAGCCATAATATATTTTGCAGAAATACCTGACTTGATGGCTTTTTCACCGTTGATGACCGATATGCGTCAAGCATCTACATGCGTTCCCGGTTACTCATCGTCAACAAGACAAGAGGATCTTTAACGTCCGCACCTGGCTCATGGCCTTATCGGACGTTTTGATTCTCAAGATGAGAGCTGACGCACCTCCGCATACGACGGAATAGTGTTATCGCGGCAGCATTGGTGTGGTGGTGTCCCGGCCCCTAGGGGTCGGTAACCACGCTCTCCGCTTGTCCACTCCGAATGGTCGGGCCCGCATTATGCGTCGGGTCGTACGCCGCACGCGAGGGGCTAACGGGCCGAAATACATCAGCCCGTCCCCCCCTCGCATACTCCCTAGATAGAGAAAGCGACTCTATCTCTCTGAGTGTAGAGGCTCCTCTAGCGTCGAAACTTCCGGGAACGCCCCGACAGCCGTTTTAGTTTATAGTGGGATTGCTACCCACCCCCTAGATGAGCACTGTCTACGGTAAAAAGTCTCTTATCGAACTCAGCCTACACCTGCTGTACGCATTCGAGGGACGCCATAGGTCTAGCCTAGGTGGTCCGATCCTTCGCTTCCCCAAGGGTACCACGCCGGTCATACGCACAACAATGCAAAGCATACTCGAGTCAAAGACGCCGACTCACTACCCTTTTCAGTGAGGAACGGTACATACCTTTTAAGTAACGTAGCCTGACTTCCTGTGTTATAATATATGATGGGTTTTGGTCTGCGTGTCGGTGAACTGATGTTGAACCGGCACACGGCCACTTACTGGGTTTGTTCCTCTCGACTCACGGGTTTTTTTAAGTTATTCAAACGCATTTCGGCATTGCGCCATCTTCAGTGGGGAACTCTTTACATTATTTGCACTTTGTGACTTGACAAAGTTATAATGGATTAGCATAGTTAATACAACATTTTGTCATTTTTCCAGATTTGCGCATTCGACTCTGGGTTTATAGTGAGAAAAACGCCCTCGAGTTTAAACAGACTTGCAATGCAAACATATCAAATTATTAAAGATGTGAAACGACCTTCTGATTATCTGGCCCGATTTAATCTGCCCGGTTTTAAAATTAACCCTTTTATATTCGCCTCGCCCGTTCTATCGGCCATTTCAAACGCTCGATTTCGACCAGTTTATCCTGGATGATCCATTAGCTGAAAATTATTAGTGACCCGCCAGATAAGACGGGCTGTTTGCCCTCGCCGGGAAAAGTAAACATGCCGCCTGCCGTCTGAAAAACATCGACTCTCTTTTTATTTATGGCTGGAAAAGCGTTTTTCGTCTTTGTTGAAAAAGCGACGACGGTCAGAGTCGCCTGCGGATAGCGGCTGGCAACTTCGCCGTCACGTGAGTACGAACGAAGGCACCCTGCCAACTTCAATCCGACCGGAAAGCTCCCAACAAAACTTTACTAGCGAAATATTTAAGTATGAATAACAATTTATTAACAAATAACAATCATACACAAATAAAAAATAACTTTTATAGACAATAATTATTATATTTGATTATTATTATAGGGGTGGTTCGTTGGAGCTGATCCTTTTACTGGGTACCAGTAAAATTTACAGATCAAGTAAAGTGTGTGTGTGTGTGTGTGTGTGTGTGTGTGTGTGTGTGTGTGTGTGTGTGTGTGTGTGTGTGTGTGTGTGTGTGTGTGTGATCTGTTCCACCTTTGTTTGGTGAATAGTTGAAATATGTAAGCGGGTAATTGAAATTCTCATTTGAAGAAACAAACAAATGAAACTATGAATGCAAACATATTTTAATTTTGACTATGTAGGTCATCTATAGGTTTGACAAGCTTTTCTGCTTTATTTTATTGATAATAGTGCACATTATTATCTACATGCACACACAAAAAAATTGTAAACCAAATTACACTTAATCAGAAATTCAGAATTTAATAAAAATTATTTAATTATGATGGTTTGAAAGAAAATTCACCAAAACGCCGGATAGATTAAAATTTAATAAACAATTTTATTATCTAGCTTTTGCTGTTCTTAATAACGCGTATTACCTCTTCTGGCCTCTTGCAGGGCTTTAAGGTCCTACCCATCTTTTTATCAAGTCCCATAAGGGCTCTAACGATTCATGTCAGGAGAACATGTTAAACATTCTGGTAATCCCTACATCCGCCAATTGGCTTTTGGTAATTGGTGTCAACTAGAGCGGACGTGCACATGGTTTAACACATGGTTTTAAGTTGTCCCAAATAAATAGAGCGAATGGGACCACAGCTTCCAGAAGAACCTCTTGAATGTACCTTAGTGCAATCAAATCAGTTCGGTACGGGCATGGGCGACGATTCCATCCCATACCTAACTGACTGTCTTTGAATAAGCTGTGACTCACCCTTGGCACATGAAGCCAAGACTTTTCCTATTATGTCTTCTCCATATACGGTCCCGGTCATCTGGTTCTGATTGCTATAAACCAAACTGATATCTGTGAAGCCCCCCCCCCTCCTGTTCAAGTGTCCAAGCGAGATCTTGATTTGGTAATAGTCGCTTTTCTGCTCGATGCCTCTTCTACGACTAGAAACTAGACTATTCTCTCGAAGCCTTCTGATGACTGTTTTAAAGCTCACCCTTGCATTGCGAAGTGTTTGGAGTTGACTACCTATCAAGGAAGCCGTTAAATTACGTTTAGTGCGTTAACAACAATATGCTCTCAGTTATCGGGTTTGTGATCAAGACCTAAGCCTCTTCAAAATTTTGCAGACAGCAGATCAAACCCTAACAATCTGTTTTGCCAAGTCGTGGCTCTTTTTGTCTCGCTTTCTGCGTAATTTTTCGGACCAAACAACATTCTAAGTGGGACTGATATTACAATATTGTTCGTTGGATGTTTTTCATAAAAATGAATAACTTCTGTTTTTATTTTATGAACATATTTTGTTGTAAATTAAACCGGGTTAAATTCCAAACTCAAAGATTCGAATGCATTCTTCTCAAAACTGTACAGTTTCATAAAGGCGCATAGTTTCAATTTGTTTTTCTTCAATCAATATTTAGCCAATTAATAGTAGCAAATTAATGGAACTTGCTTACATCAAGTTTTCTCACGTACACTCTGGATCATGGTGTGGTCAGTTGTTACTCTAAGCCTTCGACATATTTTAAGGTCATCATCAGGGCAAAACAACCTCAGTCCGTAGAAATGTTAAGACTGAGTCGGTCTTCGTGGAAATTTGAGATCGCCTGTAAAATACTTAAATATATCAATCTGTAGAACTATTTAAGTTTCTTTTGCCCTGATGACCTTAAAATAGGTCAAAAGCTTAAATACGTCTACAGTTTGACATATTTAATTATTTTTCAGCCGATCCTTGGCAATGTTAAGACTGAGACGGTCTTAAATTTGAGATCACCTGTAAAATACTTAAATATATCAATCTGTAGAACTATTTAAGTTTCTTTTGCCCTGATGACCTTAAAATAGGTCAAAAGCTTAAATACGTCTACAGTTTGACATATTTAATTATTATTCAGCCGATCCTTGGCAATGTTAAGACTGAGACGGTCTTAAATTTGAGATCACCTGTAAAATATTTATAATTTGAAAGTGGCAGTAACAACTGAATTTGCTATTTTCTTCAAGACCACACCTTGATCCAGAGGGACCGTGAGTGAAAAAGTGGTCGATACTTCTAACATTGAAAATCAAGTTTTCTTTAAATAAATAAGTCTGTTTCCTGGTTATTCAATTGTAAATGGTCTTATCAAAACTTATTTCCTTTAAGGATCGATCAACCGACAACACCAAATCACTTTTTTTCCAGAGCTGTTATCGTGTTCATCAACGCCAATTACTAATTTGACATACTGGAGAAAAGGAAGAGGGATCTCCAGCTGGAGGTGGTTAAGTATGCCATGAGACAGGTCGTGCCGCATGCGGCAGTTGTACCGACGGTGTCGATGCCTCAAGAAGACGAAAAGAAATCCCAACATCCTCGTTCGGATAAAAACGTCTTCTACGAACAATTCAAGCCAATGTTTGTCATTTTGATCCTGTTCGGCCGGCTGTCGATAACGAGAATCAAAGGTAAGCATTTGAAAGCATAAAGTACATACTTCTCGCGCTGAATGTTGAAACTTGACAGCAGTTGGATGTTTGAGGTGTTCTTCGCAGCTTGCCTTCGTGCCTGTTAATACGGCCAAAAAGTATACAAGTGCACGTAAAATGAATAGGAACGAATTGAAAAATTTTTGGTTTCTATTATAAATGTGCACGCAGAATGTGCGCGCGTTAGTGTGCATGAAATTTTATTCCAGTATGTATTGGTAATGTGCAATCGGACGCTATATGATCTCATTATTTAATTTCGTCGTGCTTGAAAAAATATGTTCGAAAATAGTGAATAGATAATCATAACTGTTAACTTTGTAAATAATTAATTATTAAAGTCCTGAAGAAGTATAGTTTTAAAGAGGATGTATACTACGTTTTTCCAGGTAAGTATGAATGGAGGTACATGTCCTTGCTGATGATCTACTGCATTGTCAACTACGCACTGCAGTCCTACATAGTGTTTCTCGTCTGTAAGAAGAGATTCGACTCTCTAATGGATGCACAGAGGAACTACGACGAGCTCATATTCGCCATGCACATACTTGCTTATCTGAGCATCCACTTCCACTTGCCGTTTACTTACTGGGCTCAAGGTCCTAAGCTGGCCGAGTACATCAACATGTGGAAGAGATTCCAAGACGAATGGTTTCTCACGTTCGGCGATGAACTGAAGCTGAGCCTGAAACGGTTCATCCGTTGGTTTTCTTTTTCGACCATCCCGAGCGTCGTGCTTCTGCTCGTTTTCGAAAAGTACTCGACACTCCACGACCCATGGCTTTACCTCATGCCATACCTGTTCACCATAGTCAGCACCATGCTCGCCCTCGGCCTGTGGTACTGCACCTGCATCGAAATCAACCGCCTATCTAAGAAATCGACTGTCAGGCTGATACAGGTATTTTTTCCGGATGTAAATAATTTTTATATATTTACAAACGGTCTTTCAGCACATAGAGACGAAACCGAATGCGGCCTTTCTTCGTCAGTGGAGACACCTTTGGATTTCTCTCAGCTCGCTCAGCTCCTGGCTCGGATCCCACCTATCCGGGATAATAGCGTCTATCTTTCTCACGTTCAGCCTGACTTTCCTCCTGGGTCTGTACAACGCCTTGTCGTTGATAATTAAGCTGGACATCTCTTGGAAAGCGATCGGCTACCTCTCGGCCAGCACATTATCGCTCTGTATAATCTACACGCTGTGCGACGCAGGGCAAAAGGGATCAAAAGAGGTGAATGGCGAGTCCGTTTCATAAAATTCCTTGCTAAATCTAATCGGCTGATGTTTTAGATTTCGACCTACGCCTTCCAAGAAGTGCTGAAGACAAAATTGGCATCAAACTCTCTAGACATACGATACGAAGTTAGTGTATAATTACATTCATAGCAATAGAATCTATTGTTTGATTATTACCAATCATCATGGAGAGAAGTTTTAATTATGTAATAAGCAGTAATAACTACAACTTCACTGATATCACCCAAACACTGAAGATGGTGAAATGCCGAAACGCGTCTTTATTTACAAAAATCAGGGAGGATAGGCAGACCAGGATGTTAGGTAACTATCGAATAACAGGTTTATCAACCCGCAAACCGCAGGAGCAAATCTCACAACTTAAATTATTGTTAGAAGGAGTTTGATTTAACATCAGGTTGACGCAATGTCACCATCTCCCCATGATATGCCTTTTATCGTTTCACAGAAACTAACTAAACATACAATTCTTACATTCTTCTCATACAATTTTTTTTAATGTTAAAACAGAATTCCAACAATTTCATCTGCAATTGTTTTTTACTGTATAATTTGTTTGCAGCTTTCTCTTTTGATAAAATCAATAGAGGCCAATTTACCTGAAATAGAGCTTGCTGGATTTGTGACTATGAATCGTTCATTGTTCATAAGTGTGAGTGTGAGTATTTGAAAAATTTACAAAGTGGTTTATATTTTATTTTGTTTTTTCCAGTTTGTCTCGAACACAATCACATATCTGATCGTCATTCTTCAATTTAAATTCAATTGAGGCACAGGAAGACTGCATCAATACACTTTTATTTATAGGTTTTTTGTCACGGAATTATTTTTATAATGAGATTATTTTGAAGGAAAAAAGGAACTTTTTGTTGGGTTTTATAATTTTATTTCACAACACACAGTTTATATTTGCCTTAACGTCCTGTGGCGTTCGAACTAAGGCTTTCTTTTGGGAGTGTTTCAATCCGAAAACCCAAGCTGGACAAGTCTTCAATATTACATTGTTGTCCGGCTTGTACTTATCAGGCCCAGGTTTGATCTCACTGAAAACAAAATTTAAAAAATAATAACGACAAATTGTATATACAAATGGAAATATAAAAGCATATAGAGATAATTTATATATATTGAAGATAAATTACTTTTTATTCAACCTTTCCCGTCTTCCTAATAGCAAAGCCTCAGGAGCCTTTTTCTTAACGTAATCTAAATTTTGTGCATTGTAACGTGCAGGGCCCGGAGATCCTTTGACTGTTGCGCCCAAAGCTGTCGTTGGTCTCACCCCCCTGTGATTAATATCAAATATAAGCAATGTCAAATTGAGCAAAATAAGTTGATTTACATGACCCATTTTGGCGCAGATGGAAAATATGGTACATTGTTGGCAATGGTCGATTCAATCATGTACTTAGGCCCTGGTATTAAATGCCTCATTTTTTTCTCCCGGCCAGATGTAAAATACCAAGTCGGCGATGATTTTGCATTCGGCAATTTGTCCACTAGGTACTTATCCGGACCAGGGCCCACCCTCTTTCCAACTGTTTAAAAGTCATAGATAAAAACTTTCTCTTGTCATAATGATCAGTCATTCTGTCAATCTTAGGCCACCTGATGTCCTCCTTGGAATTACGATCACTGATTGATTAGAATAAGGTCCATTTCTTGTCATATTGCATGTCATATATTTGGGCCCCGGTAACAAATTTGTATTTTGTTTTTTATTATGACGACCTGCGATAGAATAAGCCGGCTCCCTGTACTTAGTCGGATCATGATTTTCAAAACCAACCAATGTTTGCAAAACGTATTTTGGTCCTGGATAAATAAAAAAAGTTTATAACTACCTCTAAGAATTATTCTTAGGTTTTAAAGCAACTAGCCAAAGAATTTAAAAAACCTAAATACTTTAAATGTATATGTTTATAACTTATTTATTAAAATTTAAAAACATATTCTAAAAAGCTAAAATCCTGCATTCAATCATGAAATGATTTATATTGGGATTTTACAAAGAATGCTGTTATAATTGAACAAGTAAGGAATTACTTTCTGTGAAATTTTACTGACAACTGTGAGTTAATCATCCTATAGAGGAGCATCTCTTGAGAAATGTAAAATAAGTTGACAGCCAAACCAGTGAGAACAAGAAGACTATTTACTTTTCTAGGATTTGTTGTAGAGGTCTGAACTTGCAGTTGTATCGTCCATAATCATTCTGATAAATGTCAAGACACTTTTTATGATCTTTCATCATCTTTAGTGGAGGGTTTGCGGACGATCAGAACAGTTAGGGTGATAGAAAATAATTTTATCAAAAAATGTTATTATTTGAACTTTATCGATATTTTGCTCTGACTATCGGATTGGTCTGTCAGGCATATTTCGGCATGTCATCATCAGTGCGTCTGTCCTGAAATGCTGAAACACATCTGACAGAACAACCCAACAAGGATAGGCAGACCAAGATGATCGGTAAGAATCAATTGTAGGTTTTTCACCCTACTGACCACAGGAAAAATTTTCTATTACTTTTTTTAATATCTAAGGATATATATACTTCAAGTTACGTTTTTTCTAGTCTTTGTTACTTTTTTATAGTCTGAAATGTTATACACAACAGCAGATGACAAGATTGTAGGTCATGACCACCTAGGTGATACAGATCTTTGTGTATAAATCAAAAAGCAAAATTATATTGATCCAAAAAGTTATTCCAACATATTCCCAAGAGATTTTTGTGTATATAGATAAGAGATTTGCAATTATCAAAAATCCTGCAGTCGGGTACTCCTTGAACTTAAATCACCTACCTGGAATCATATTTAATTTCAAGCTTAACCAAAACGGCACAACACAAGAGTAATTTTTCAAATTTAAACAATATACTACAGAGAGCAAATGGTTACTTGGTTGAAGAATTTATTCCATATGTTTGCCTATAAAATTGAAATGCTATTAATATTTTTTCAAAAGTGATGTGTGATACATTACATATTTCTACAATTCCCGGGGACAAAATATTTTACACAATAATATTCAATGGATTCATCTCTTGGCAGGTCAAAAACAATGCAGTAATTCAACTATTTGTATAATTACATAGCTACTAAAGAAGTTCTCATTCATAAATTACATAAATTTTAGATCCATTATATTTAGTGGTCCAATTGGCCAAATAACTTCTTTCAATTAATTAATCATATTATGGTTGAAATGAAAAAGTTAGTGCCGAAGGTCGTGGGTTCAAATCCCGCTTGTGACACTAACTTTTAAAGATTAATTAATTGAAATAAATTGTAGACTTTATGCAAATGTTGGTAGGAAACATAAATTGGAAAAGAAAGAAAAAAGCCTATTTATTTAATATTTTTTTAGATTTACAGATAGCAATAAATAAAATAAATAAAAAAATATTATTAAGAATTTACATAACCAATAACTGGCTTAAATAGTTCATTTTAAAATTTAAAAATATTCTTGGCAAATGTACTACCATTAAAGAACTTGAAATCACCTACACTAACAACCTGACATTTAACTTGCATCTCACTTCAATAATTAATAAGGCAAATCAACTTTTAGGTTTCTTTCATAAAAATACTAGAAATTTTAAGTATACAAAAGCAATGATTATACTATCTAAGGTCCATCCATTTTAGAATAGTGTTCGGTTGTTTGGTTACCATAGTAGAAAATACTAAGAAATTCAATAGAACATGTACCACGATGATTTATCCCCACTCTCTGGTTTAAAATTACGAGAACATACTTAGATACCCTGTACGAACTTATAATGGAATCTGAAGAAGGCAATCACTAAACTTAAGATGACAAAATAATGACCTGATATTTTCTTACAAACTCTTAAATATCATCGACTGCCCACAATTAATCTGTCAAATTTCCATGTCCCCCATAATATCAGAAAAAAAATATTTTGTTCAAAATCAAATTATAATACAAATTTAAAATATAGCCCAATTTAGTCGAGGACTCATGGACTTGAGAAATAAACAACATTTACATTGTGAGGCTTTTCACATTTCCTTAATTTGTTTTAAACATTTTTTTAAATATTGATGATGGCAATTGCTTTTTATTTGTTTATATATTTCTGTTGTTTTCATTATTTTTTCCATTATTTTCATTTTTTTCATTCCTTGAACTTCCTTTAAATTTGTTTATATATTTCTGTTGTTTTGATTATTTTTTTCCATTATTTTCTTTTTTTTTTCATTCCTTGAACTTCCTTTATATTTGTTTATATATTTCTGTTGTTTTGATTATTTTTTTCCATTATTTTCTTTTTTTTTCATTCCTTGAACTTCCTTTATATTTGTTTATATATTTCTGTTGTTTTCATTAATTTTTTTCATTCTTTATAACTTCCTTTATATTTGTTTATATATTTCTGTGGTTTTCATTATTTTTTTCATTCCTTGTAACTTCTTTTATATTTGTTTATATATTTCTGATGTTTTCATTAGTTTTTTTCATTCCTTGTAACTTCCATTATATTTGTTTAAATATTTCTGATGTTTTCATTAATATTTTTTCATTTCTTGTAACTTCCTTTATATTTGTTTATATATTTCTGTGGTGTTCATTAATTTTTTTTTCATTCCTTGTAACTTCCTTTATATTTGTTAATACATTTCTGATGCTTTCATTGATTTTTTTTTTATTCCTTGTAACTTCCTTTATATTTGTTTATATATTTCTGATGTTTTCATTTTTTTTCTTTCTTCCTTGTAACTTCCTTTATATTTGTTAATACATTTCTGATGTTTTCATTGATTTTTTTTTTATTCCTTGTAACTTCCTTTATATTTGTTTATATATTTCTGATGTTTTCATTTTTTTTCTTTCTTCCTTGTAACTTCCTTTATATTTGTTAATACATTTCTGATGTTTTCATTGATTTTTTTTTATTCCTTGTAACTTCCTTTATATTTGTTTATATATTTCTGATGTTTTCATTTTTTTTCTTTCTTCCTTGTAACTTCCATTATATTTGTTTATATATTTCTGATGTTTTCATTTTTTTTTCATTTCTTGTAACTTCCTTTATATTTGTGATGTTTTGTTGTATAGTTTAAACGCTTATAGAACTTGTAACTGGGTATATTTACCCGTATAAATATACAAAATGTTCCGATTTACCTCTCAAAAACAAAAGATTACTTTACGACACCCTAGTTGCTGATAGACTTATGTACTGGATGTGTGGCGTTCAGCCAAATATTTGAACATTCACGTTCAAACTGCCCAATCCTTAATCCTACAAAAAATCACTGATGCTACATTTTACATATCTAGGGTAAACTAAACATACGTGCTTAAATATGCCTTTTATTCAAGATGAAATCCTTTCCCATTACCGCAAATTTCATAACCCCTCCCCCCAAGCACCGCAAATCAGCGCATCCAAAAACTCAAATCCCAACTGATTCCTTCAAACCCTGGCCAACTGAAGAGATGATGGCTGTGAGAACTCCTACACACTATTAGTGAAAGTGATAATGACATAATAATTAAACAGGCAACATGTTAGCACCACTGGAGTACCAGCAATGGGTATTTTCTTCTCTTTTGTTTTTAATTTTGTATATATTTTTTATCTATGTTATGTTACCATATTGTTGCTAGTTGTAAATGTACTGAAAATTAAAAAATAAAAATAAAATAACTGAATCAAGATACATCAAAACAAGTGTTTTTAGAATGATTTTAATGAGAAATTTTCACACGTTCAACTATTGCCTGGCCCGGGAGCAAGACCATATCCAGACTTCTTCCGTCTGGGATCGAAGTCATCTTAAATAAATCTGTTTTATATTGAACTCAACAACCATAGTAGTGTCCGCCATCATTGGGCATCCTGAGAAGCATCTGTTTCCACGAGTGCCTCACGCCTAGTGAGTACGCAGGCGATTCACGTTTTATTTTATTATAGTTCCCATAGTATTTTGGCCCGGGTTGGATTGTAGCTGGGGTTCTGAAATGAATCATTAGTGCTAGAAAGGAATAACTGTATATAGTTATTATTTACACTTTGGGTTCGGTCCTTTTGGCCCCTAAAGGTACACCGGGTGACTTTCTTAAATATATATCCATGTTGGTATGAAAATATTTTCCGGGACCGGGCGAATTGCTGACTTGTAGTGCAGAGCAAAAATTTGACTTTCCTATTCTAAAAATCAAAAAGATGATAAAGGACCCAGATCAATAAAAATTAAATCACCTCTCTTACAAACAAGCACAAGGACTGCTTGGAAATTCTAAACCACGTCCCAAAGTGCCTGCAAGCATGTATTTAGGTCCTGGCTTAATATCCGGTTGTGGGTTGTAAAATGTACCAAGGTGTGATGCTTCCGGAGATTTTTTGTATCGTGAGTCGGACTTAATGTTAGGGTAATATTTACCAGCACCAGGAGTCTGTTTTGTAACTGGAATTACATTTTTGTAAAATAAATTTGTGAAATATCTGAAGTCAAACAAATATCGCTTTGTTAAAAAATATAAATTGGCATCCTATTTATGTTCAGACGTACATTTTTCTTGGTTGTCAAACCTCGAACTCAGGAAAGCGCTCTTTGATTGGTAAGGACCACGATTACTCAGTTTGTCACACTGGTACTTAGGTCCGGGACTGATACTCTTACTCTCGTTGGAAATTTTGAAGTTCAAGCTGTACGCAGGCTCACGCGGCCTTGTGATATCATGCTTGTCATATCCGACGGTTGTCGGCAATAAATATTTTGGTCCTTGAAAAGGAATATTTTTGTATTAAAGAAATAGGAACATCCACAGCAACATTTACCTGGAGAATGCATCTCAAATCGCAATAATAAAGTTTAGAAAATGTTCAATTTCAAGCTACTAACACTAGCCGAGTAATTGATTTTCATTAAATCTACAATAACTATGAACTAAGGTTTGCTAACAAAATGTGAAAAAAACTTAAGTTAATATAAAAAATTACACATGGGAAAGTTATGAATAAATACTTTTATACATATGATTTTCTCTGATTGAATTGTACCACATAAATTTGTAAACGTTTAAGAAATGCCATCATTGGAAGGTAAACGGAAATAGAATCTATTAACAATCTCAAAAGACATGAATAGAAATATTTTTTAAACATGAATCTTTCAAGTAAGGCTTTCTATACTTTGGCTTACAGTGTAAATAATCTATATTCGCCTGCTTTTCTCTATTTTTCAATAAGTAAGCATAGGCGCTTTGTACTTATTCCTGTGTAGGGGAAGGTAAGTTTCGAGAAATTAATAAACCAAAGAGTATATTTTTCAACATTGGGTTCAACACAATTCCACCTTTTATATGTACACGACAACAAAATTTTAATTTATCTAACAAGTCAGCTACAACTCTAAATCTGGAATGAGTCTATTAACAAAAGGACTTACCCCAAATGATGCTCGCCATGATTAGCGTCCACAGCATCCTCAGTGCCTTTCTGGTTTCTTGACCGTCAACTTAATCCCTTGGGTCGCAACGTCTGGTCCTCGCTGGCTGAGTCCCTCTTGTTGAGCCAAGGGGGTGAGTCTTCGGTCTTGACTGAGGACAGCCTTCTGAGGTGACTTCCTGGGGTGTCTTGTTTTTGACTTTCGATTCCCAAATTTTTATAGCAGTTTCGCTACCAGAGTAGGGGTGGAAAGGAAAACCAAAAGTCAGGGGAGTTCTTTTGTGGACCGACAAAGAAGGATGACATGCGGTTCATGTGACCCAATTTATGATGTCCGACATCGCTACATATTTTTGGCCTTGTAGCAACCTTTAACATTACATATCGGGGCTTATTAAATTATTGCAGGGCTGTTTCCCTGGTTTGTGAGCAACGTCGCATTGGTCCCATCTATGCTATGACACCTTTTTACCAAACTTAATTATTATAGAGATGTTTCCCAGATTGATGAGGGACGTCATGTTGTTCCCGTCTGGGTGATCACCCCTTCCAATTTACAGCCTTTTTTTTCTATGGTCATCTAAACTTTTTTTTCATACTTAAACAACTAGAATTATTCTCTAACTCCATAACTTTTATTGTGCAAATGTAAAAGTATTTCATCATTTATTTTTACTTGTTACAAGTGAACACGAGAGGAAAATTTTTTTTTTGCACTGGGGTGACCAGACTCGGGCAGAGGCGAGGGTGCCCTCGGCAAGATTGAGCGAGATCTGGAAGAGGCAGAAGATGAAGGAAGCCCAGCCAGGGCTCAGCGGGGACGCTGGCGAGGAGTGGGGTCCGATGGGAGTGAACAAGGAGGCCTCGAGCTGAGACTGGTCGGTGTGGACAAGCGAGGGGAAAAAGTAAAACGTGACAGTGCATTATTTTATTATTTTGGGGACTTTTCTCATCGTCGTGGAGTGGAGGGTTCACGTGTGCAAGGGGAGAACCGTTCTGGAACAACGAGAAAAAGGACGTACACGAGGTTCGAGCTTTTAAGTTATAAGATTGGTTTCTAGTTTTTTTTTTTTAAATTCTGAAGAGACTTATTCTTATTATCTTATTCTTAATACAGAGGACATTAATATTTTATTTTCTTGTTTTTTTATTTATTTTGTTATTTCACCCCGAGGGTTTCAAACAGTGTGGCGCTCGATTATTCCCCTTTTGGAGACGAAGCGGCCACGGAAAAAAAAAAAAATCTCCACTGAGCCCCAGGTACCCGGCGACCGGGTGAATTGCCAACGGTCCGGCGAGGAACCGTAACATCCTCCTCATACAAAGAAAAAATATAATTAAAAATAATTAAATAATAAAAACTATACAACTAACTCATTCCGATGAAGCAAAATATAGTTTTTGTGGCTCTCTCCTGGTTTGCTTCTCTTCATATCTCCATGGATGGCCACAAAATTAGTAAAAGTAATCAGTGGCACTGTCAAATCGTCTCCAGCTATTACCATGGGTACTCCTCAAGGCAGTATACTTGGCCCACTTTTGTTTATAATTTTTGTAAACGTTCTTCCTTGCTTCCTAGAGATGATGACTGCCTTATTACTATGCTGATGATTCCAACTTTATTGTGCATTGCGAACTCCTTTGAGAATGTTCTTGCTTCTATGGTAGAGTTATTTGAGAAGGTGGTTCTCATCACTTCAGTTGGAACTTAATTACACTATATCAAATTGCATACTATTCAGCAAGACAATTAAACGCTACCAAAAAATTATCAACTTGCATTATAAACTACTGTCTTCCTACCATTGATAAAACTAGATGGGGGTGAAACTTGATTGATGACATCACTGCTCTCACAAGGAAACTGTGCTGCAGGATTTTTTTATACCAGGAACTGAAAAAGTTCCCTGAGCACTGCAGCATTTTTTTTTTTTTAATCTCACAACATGGGCGTGAATTGAGCTCTTCGTGTTTTTTCATTGATTAACCAAACATTGAAGGGGGTAGGGCCGACTTCAGGGTTGCTGAGATCCAATTCCGCCCCAGACTGTCCATTGATGAGTCAACTTTCACTGCGGCCACTGCTCCCTTTATGTATCAGAAAAAAGTCCAGAGGCAACAGTGGGAATCAAACCCATGATCACGGGATCTCCTAGGCGTCACAACTTAACCACTCATCCACCAAGATCCACCCCATCCTGATCTCTTAAATAAGGTTTTTCTACTCTAGAAAAGAGCAGTCTGCATCGAACATGTTTTGGAGTTAGGTTATATAAATAACATTTTTCACCCATACGTTTATTCAACAATAATTTTTTGCTCTTGAAAATAGCCAACAAAATAAATTCCATAACTCTTACGTTTACAATTTAGAGGATACACTTTTATTTCTTTGAGTTAATAGTATTTTGATTAATAGAGAACAATAAATATACCACAGAAGCTTATTTAACAGGTAGTTAGTATCATATTGTAGTTAAATGGCATTAAGACAAAGATTATTGTACCGACATTATTTATGTTATATTGTACCATGCATGATAATATTACATTGTTTTCTTTTAAGTATACATGGTTTTTTATAAGTAGTTGTTACAATTATTTTGTTATAATGCAAATTTTCAATTCTCGTTTGATAATTTTTTATACAAACTAGTGAATTTAATTTCATCAAAACTAACACACTTTTTCTATAATTTTAGTTAATTATTGCAACATCTCAATTTTCGTTTCCTTTTATTACACAACCTTATACATTATCAAACAGCTTTTATGATTTTAATTAATAAATCTTTATGTTAACCTTATTAAAAATGAACAATTATTGCTGTCATTGCACAGTTACATAGTAAAGTACATAGTAACGCAAAAAACCCAAAAAATAAACATACCAATTTGACCCAAATTTATTTTATCCTTTTAATGCCTACCAGAAAATTTTGATTTTTCTCGTTGTGTCCCATTCCAAAGAGTTTAGAGTTAATAGAACCGACTTTGTCATAGTAGAAAAATAAACTTTAGAACTCGAAAATAATTGAAGTTTCTTCTTAATTTGTCAGCTAAATATACAATAGAACAACAATTTCTATATATTATTTTATGGTATTTTTTTAAGTTTGTCTTTTTTTTCAGTGTTTCACTAGTATGTATCTAAAATATTTTGTTTTTCAAAGAGTGCCCGAATCACAATGCCTACAATTTTTGAATTTTCATTTTAACACTAAAAAAAAATGGAATGGAGACTAAAGACTGACTTATCACAGAGGAATGTGAAATAAAAATAATAATAATAATAAAAATACAACATTAACAATAAATAGAGAAAACAAAAAACTACCCATTCTTCTATTTAGATTTAAATCCTACAATACACCTGTTGATAAGTATAGCGTTCTTTAGTGTATGTTCAAAAGACTTCCTTGAAATGTCAGTTGTTCCCAAGTAGTTAGCAATAAAATTCTCGTTTACTTTATTATAATTTTTTTTACAAACAAATAAATAAATTCAGCACAAACATAACATAGAAACATTTAAAAAAAATATATACGGAAGAAATCTTACCACAGTTTCAAAATTATAGACTCTTGCTGTTAAGAGTTCTCTAAGTACATTTATTTAAATACATAATATACACTATATACACACAGTACACTGACTTCAAGTACACACACATGCATACGCCCACACACACTGCTAATTTTCTACTCTCTCATACCCACACAAAAAGGCAAAACGTGCAAAATTACTTTGTCTTCTATAACATAGTTTACTAATTTACTTTTTGGCTCATATTTATATATAATTTCTATATAACGTACACATCAATTGTTTAAAAAAATCTGCGGAATTTATTGAGATAAATTCATAAATAAGCTAGTTAAGTTTGTCAAAAACACTTCATAAATGCACTTTTTTTTTTTTCATTTCGTAATTGTAAAAATTTAAATATACACGCTTAATTTAATTAATAACATCATTAAATAACAATAGATATCAAATTTAAGATATTTAGGAATATTTCAATAGATAAAAATTATATTTCGCACTAGGGTGGTCACTCAGATGAATTGTTACATTTCCTTTGGTATTCAAACAGACAATAAAAATTTTTCGATACATTGAACAATGAGCAATTAATTTGTTTAGTTACGTAACTTTCATTTTGTCATACTCAGGAATTTTTATTGCTGACATACTAAAATATTAAAAAAATAAATAAATAGTTATTTTCAGGAAAATTTTATTTCTTTATATTGTCATTAAAGAGAGAAAAACTCTTGGGCACATATTTTGACTAAGTGCTACATGGTAAGTTATAGCACACCCGTTTTAGTTCATAGAATTAATGATAAAAACTTTATTTGCTTGGACATTTTTTTTTTTTTTTTAATGACTCCTGAAAGAACAAAGCGTCCAAAAGAAAAGGCTAAAATTGTAACAGAAATCAGGAAGCTTTATAATGAAATTTGACTCTTGCATATGGAGTCATACAAAATTCTGTATGATGCTGTACTTCCTGTACTTAAGAGTCCCTACACTGAAGGGGTTCTCGATCGAGTATCCTTCCAATGCTTGAAGCATTGTTTCGATTCATCGCATTCATCGATTTGTAAATTTACAAATGCAAAGTATTTCCGTAAGCCTATTATTGTTTTATTACTGTAAAATCTCAATAATATCAATTAAATTGAGTTTGAGCAATCTGACGAATTTATCCGATTTCATAATTGACGAATACTTGACGCACAGAGTGAAATTTATGCCAAAAGATCAAGCTCGAGTTTTAAAAATAACTTTACCCTTATTATTATCTGAATTTCTTATGATATAAGAAGACTTTTTTTCAATTTGGTTAAAATGCATTTCATGACAAATGCAACTTTCTGTTTAAAATATTTCCATGCAACAACAATGTACACTGTAAATGTACAAATAATGCTGATCGCTGATGATTATTTTTTTGCCTCATTTCCACTTTAATAATATTAAATAAAATAGTGACCACCCTGTTTTCACAATTTGCTTATAAGATATGTAACCCACCAGTGATTTTTCAAATCCACAATTATTTAAACAATTGCTGCGTATAATTAAGTTTTTTTTAAACCTTAAACCTATTTTTTGCATAATAAATTTTATTAAGACACATTAAATCTCTTTCAATTTATAACAATATTTATTATACAGCCCCAAATAAATGGGAATAACAATTGATAGCTACAACGTTACTGAACATGAATGGCTACATGCTTATGGAAAGATCTACACACTTTTAATCTTTTTTTTAAATTACTGAGTGCTAATCATTTATAATTCGCTGTTGTCAAATTAAAACGCTTAAGAGCATATCCGGTTTTATTCTTATTCATTTTTTCTGACACGCGCCAGTTTTGTAAACCTTTCTCACACTGATGTTTTAGGCCTTTGATTTAAAATTACTAACGATTCAAAAAATTTAAGGTAATAAAAGAAACATATTTATATCTTTTTTTTTCATTTTTCTTCTTTTTACTTTTTTTTGTAAATCTGATTTTAATGATGATGGTGAATGAAAGAACATTTATTGTGACAAGTGTACAAAACGACAAGGAGGGATTCCATGTTAATGCAAGACTACTGGTAGGTTAATTTCCTAGGAAAGGTTTGTTCATATTGGGCTCTGTCAATACTATAATTCCTGAGAAAGTGAAAGAAAAAGAAAATATAATTTCAAACTTTCGCTCTTCTGCATTGGGCGTTCATTAAACAACCAAACAATTAACAAATTGAGATTTACCTTTTATGACTTTTTTTCCCCAATAATGTAAAGAAATAAAAATTGAATTTGTTAAAGAACAGTTTGAACAGTTTGATGAACACCCGTGCTACATGGATATGGGGATGCTCACCTAAATCAAACCGAGCTGACCTGCATCGTCCTCCCGTCCACTTCGTGAGGTGTCGACCCATTGTTTGATGGCTTCGTCTCTACTTCAGTCGTGAGGAGGGCGGTTTCGACGTCCGGTTCAGTATGGTCGCTGCTCTCCCAAGCGTCGCCGCCGTTCACCGTTCGCAGCTTCCCTTTGCTCAGCCGTTCTCGGGTCTTCTTTCCGAAGTTGACGGCCATTTTCGGTAGACTACGGCGTGTGGGGCCGCTGCCAATGTCGCCACCTCCGTCCTCCTTCTCCTCGCTGATCGATCCCAAGCCTTCTCCCTCGCCTCGGTTGATTTGTATGGGAATGTCATCTGCAAAAAAATATCTGAATTCAATTCAATTTAACTAAATGTTAATAAAAGGACAATCAATAAAATTGAAACAAATAAATGGTAAGAAATAAATAAAAATAGGATTGATGGTAAAAATAAATAAATAAATAATTTTCCCTCAAATTTCACTTACTCAACTAATGTTAATATAAACCACAACTGGGCCATGTGGTTTTGTGTGCAGCTGGGCCAAACATTTTTAATTTTTTCGAACTAATATGGAGTTCAGTCAACAGATAACAAGTAAGATACGCTTAATACATTACAAAATAAAATAAATAAGTAAATTAAAAATACTGTTAAAAAAAGAATTAAAGCACTTTGTAATGTTCAGTATAGTCTAAATGTAATTAAAACCTACGTCCATCGCAAAATTATTACTTATTAGATGTTAAGGTTCCTAACAAAGTTTTATATCCAGGCTCCTTATTTAAAAAAAAAACCGTAACTTACAACTTACTCATAGTCTGTTTTTAACCCTGTCTTCTTTTTTTTTCTAGGCGGTTCATCTGGAAGGAATGTTAGGATAAAGGGGAAGGTCAAAACCCGTGTATAGCTATGGGAAGAGCGAATCAAAAGAAAACGGGGCCCAGACCTACCTGGCAGTTTCTTCGTCCGGAACGAGGCGTTGGTTATCATCGATTTAGAGATTACGGCCGATGTCGTCACTGCTGGCGATATGGCAAGACTGATACCCATCGGGTTTTCCGTTATTTGACCTAAAGCACAAAAAAGTCGGTTAGCCATTAAAACTTAAGTTTTTACTATATTGGCAACAAACCAGTGTAAGTGGCACGGCTGTTTTTGATGGCATTTGAAACTAACATAACATCGGTATAACTCTGATAGCAAGCCCTCTGGTGGACCTCTTCTACTGCTTGCAGAGCCAACACACTATCACCATTAAAACTTTAAATAAAATAAATTAAATTATTGTTAAATGAGAAAATCCCTGAAAGCCCCAATAATTACATTGAATAATATAAACTGTGAAGAATCTCAAGAAGAAATTTTCCGGTAACTGGTATCCTTGGTAGAACCCTTGGCACATCACTGCTATATGAGACCCTCTTGCCAGGTTTATTAAATCCTTGTGTCACTAATCTAAAAACAAATGTGTAATAAACTAGAATTTTAGTTTTTTTTAATTCAAAATCAAAAATGTATATAAATGAGTTACTTCGATGAAACTTTGCAGAGCTGGTCTAGAGAAGATTTCTGAAGGCAGCTTATGTGCTGGTTGTAAATAAAAAGTAGGGCAGTCATGACAGACAACCGGTTCTGCGGGATTATCCGTTCCAACTGCGGTAGCGGACCCCACTTGACCAGTTTGGTATTGCACAGTTCGAGACGCCGCAACGCACTTTCCGTCAGAGACGCCGGCGCTAGGCTCATGGGCTACGGAAACGAGCGTCAGAACATGACGGTTGAGCATTAACGCCATGGCATACCTCATGATAAACAGATGCTTGCGCTAGGGATGGAAGACGAAAAGATATGACTTGGGCTTCTCCATAATCGTTGACTGATTCAGAGTTGTAGAGACCGATAAGAAGCGCTTCGATTCCAAGGCAGCTCTTTTTCTCCCCATGGGCTACGGCGTTTAAGTAAACGTAAATAAGTGTAGGTAGAAAACCAAGGGTGAACCTCTTGAGCTCAATCTCCTTCGAGCGGTACAAGGAGAACAGTGTGGAGCACACCTTGTCAACGAGCTGAAAAATAATAATAATCGTAATATCTTTATTAATGGCTTTCGCCAAAACAAGAAAATACAGATTATGTAATAAATAACAATAATTTTTTCTTAAAATTATTAAATAAATTGACAAATAAATGTATATAATATTGATTCAGGAGCCTAGATGCTCTTACGATTTGGATTTATAAAATGGTATAAAAATAGATCAACATTTCTGGTATATTTTTGACGAACATTTAACAATATTCTTTTTAACAAATCAGGGCTATCTATAAATATCTCTTTTTTTTTAGAGAGAGAGTCAACTGACAATTCAGCTCTCTGTGCAACATAATTACATCTTCAACTTTTATAAATGATCTACATGCTAAGTATTTTAATATCCTATTCTGAATTTTGTCCATTTTAGTTATATATTTTAAATAAGAAGATGGCCAGATTGGTGAATTGAATTCAAGGATAAATCTAACAAAAGAACATTTTTGTACAACTGATGTTACTGAGTTCCCTAGCATTTCTTTTAATGAAGTCGAATGTATTTTAAGGGTTTGTTCATAATCATGGCAATATGTTCATGAAAAGTTAGTGATGAATCAAACAATATTCCTACGTCCTTGATAGATTTAGTTATCTCGAGTTCAGACTTGTTAATTTTGTAGTTGTAGATAAGTTTTAATTTTTTTAAAAGCGCATAAATTTTCATTTATCTATATTTAAAAACATTCCGCTAGAAGCATGCCAACTGATTAGATTATTTAAGTCTTGTTTAGATCATCTTAGTTTGATGTTGATTTGACGATTTTATACATCTTTAAAACATTAGCAAATGGTTTTATTTACAGGTCATTTCTATATTTATATATATTTACTTATCATTCTTGTCTGCCTTTCCTCATTCAAGAACCAACAAAAATCAGCGAGGATGGGCAGACAATTTTTTTTTTTTTTTTAATGGATACCAGAAACTGGAGGAGTTCCCCTGAGCACTGCAGCTGTATACTACAGCTTGTACTTTATTCCTGGCTTACATTTTTGGGGGCTCCAGTGTGCCGGTATTCTTTCATCAAAGAAACTCATTTTTGAAGGGGGTTGGGACCAAATTCACGGTTGCTGAGATTCAATCCCACCCCAGACCTTCCATTGATGAGCACCGAGGAAATTTATTTTGTTTTGTTTTATTTTTTTAATTGTGGCCACCTTAGGTCCAGGGAAGACAGTGGGAATCTAACCCACGACTGCAGGATCTACTAATCGAGAGTCTCATGCCTTAACCATTCGGCTACCTTGGTCCCCCCTAAGGTTACAACTTTTTTTGAAATTGTTTTATTTATTTATTTTTTTTTTTTTTTTACAATGGTTCGCAACAGTAGAGGTCATATAAACCAGGGTACCAGTGTTTTTGAAACCCCCCCCCCAAAAAAAAAGTATGTCGGGTTCGAATGCAAGGCTGCTGGATTCGAACCCGGGACCTTTACCTTACAGCGATGAACGCCATTGTCAATGCCTAAATCGTTGCGGCTACCAACTATTTGTTTTAGACAAAACAACATTTAAGGATACTATTTTTATAAGGATTTTTAATAAAATAGTCAGCCAGAAAAGAATGTTACCTTTCATTTCCAAACTTTCTAGTTTATAAAATAACGAACTATCAAATTAATTTATTGAAACCAATCATCTTAACTTTTGAAAACTTATTTACAAATTTTAAACTGATACAATAAGATATATAAGTAATAATATTTTAAAACCTACACAAAAAGTTCAAATGTGCATTTTAAGATTAAAATGTTAAGATCTGTAATTTTAAAATACACAATGCTATTATTGTTAGAAATATCTTATATACAAGATGTTACTATTCTATGAATCATTCAATATTTATCCAATCTGTTATGGAATTGGAAAAATTGAACCTTTTTATCAAAATTTATGTCAAATTTCTCACATTCAACACAATTTACATTGGAAAAGTTTAATGATCTACTATTTTGAAATGTATTAAAATCAATCTTTTGATAATTATTTACATTAATGCCTTCCTGTTTTTGTTTTTTAACATCAGGACTTTTTTTTTAAACTTTATCATACACGTGCCCAGAACCATATTGAATTATAGATAGCAATGATTTTATCTAGTTCCAACTGTTTTTTTTTTTTTTCCCCCTATCGTACCAAGTATGGTTTAAACTCGAAATATTTCATTGGTCAAAATACACTCAAAGACAAAAACCGGACACTTGTATTTATTTCAAACCATATGTATATTTATCATTATATTAATCAACATACATATTTTAATGTAAACCAAATTAAATGGTCTGCAATTCATGAGTTTTAATCAAAATTATTTATTAACTAATTATGATGGTTTGAAAGAAAATTCACCAAAATAAAAAATCATCTAATAATAGATTAATTTATTTATTTTACTATATTACCTCCTAATCAGAACAGTCATGTTACAATATTTAAAACTAGGAAATACAAACAGTTTTCAGAGTAACAAAATCAACCAACTAATTATAATCATGAGAACAAACATTTACGTATTTCATTTTGAATATATTAAAAGCGGATCTAAATATATTCAAATTATGCACGTCACAGATTTCATTAAAGGCCTTTTGAAGGTAAGTCTTTGTACCAAATTTCCCGTAATTAGTTCTATTCAACTGGGTGTAAAACCGTGTTACTGATGACAAATATGAGTAGGGGCATGGAGATTCATCTGACTGAGTAGTGGACAGGAGTAATGTCGAGATTACTCAACCTTACGGACCATTTGGAGTTCATTACCTATCAAGGGATTCAAATGAGTTCCCATAGTGGTGTAAGACCATAAAGCGATTGACTCTAGCTATCATAAATTGTGGTCGATCCTCTATTGAGATTTCCAGTGGCCCTAAACCGCTGTAGACCATTGTGGATGGTAGAGAGCAGCACACCCACGACTTGGGTTACGTAACGGGCACTATGTTTGTCAGCCACAGCATCTACCCATCATGCTTTTAAGAGAAAAAAAAAATTAATTTTACTCAAATTTATTGTTTCATCAAAGAAAACAATTTAAAAAACCAATTAACCCATTCAACAAGTTGTCTCTGGAATTGATGAAATTGAACTGATTTTGTTTATTTTTAATCGAAAAAGTGTAAAATGTTAGTAACACTATAAAGGTGAACAATAAGTTATTTTGTTGTGTTTATGTTTTAAGTCAACTATTAATTTTTATGCATACATTACAAAATCACGATTTCAAAAGTCAAAAATGATTTCTAAAAGAAAATTAACTCTGGAAATCTGATAATCTTATACAAAATTACATCTCAATAAACAGTATTGTTTTGATTTAGCTGCGACAAAATTATAGACACACATTTTGTTTACGTTTATTTTATAACTCCGAAGGTTTATTCAGTATTCACTGTACCATGCCTTAGTAAAGTGATTACTGTGAGTTCATTTGTAGCAATTCAAAGTTATTTTAAAATGCCCAAAGGAAGAAGATTTTCTGATGAGGAGCGCCGGTCGATTCACTTGCTATGAGCTGCCGAGATATCACCCGACGCATAAAACCAAGTTTTTCACGGTATTGAAGATAATACGACTAGGTGAAGACTATGGAAGAGGGCATAGCTCTGGAAGACCTCCTTCCTTGACCAGAAGAGACAATCGCACATCCTGCGCTTGCTTCAAACAGCTTTTCGAATGCAAAAGCCATCGCAGAGAAGGCAGGTGCTGATGTTTCTGTTCGAAATGTTCAGAGATTCCTTAAAAAAACTGAAAACATAGTCTGAAGAAAACTGAAACGCAAACCAGCTCTGAAACCCCACCACAAACTAGCCCATGTCAAATTTACTGAAAACCACATTTTGAAATACGAAGATTATTGGCGAAAAGTTATTTTTTCTGACAAAAAAATTCAATTTGGATGGCCCAGACGGATACGCATACTACTTTCATGATCTAACTAAAGAAGAAAAAATTTTGTCACGGCGCCAAATGGGTGGTGGATCTTTGATGATTTGAGGGGTGTATTCGGTGTAATAAAAAAGGGAATCTTTGTTTTCTTCCAAAAAAAGTCAATTCGGAATATTACAAGAAATTACTGGACGATGAAAAAACTAGTTTCAGCGATTTATGCAAAGGGACACCAATATTCCAGCAGGACAACGCACCCATACACAATGCAAAAATCGTTAAATAATGGTTTTCACAGAACAGCATTGAAAAACTTGAATGGCCTGCACTCTCACCAGACTTGAACATTATAGAAAATGTATGGGGAAAATTATCGAGGATGGTATATCAAGACTGTAAGCAGTACAACTCTGTCGACGAACTTAAAACAGCTGTCACCACTGCCTGGAATAATTTGCCTCAAGATTTTATTCAAAATTTGTACAAAAGCATTCCAGAACTGGAAATAATAAAACTGAGTGGTAATGCCACAAAATATTATAAACTTGTTTAAATTGATTTTATCCCATGTGTCTATAATTTTGTCGCATACAAAATCATTTAATTTTAGTATTTTAATAATTTTTTTCCTCTTATTTACTGAAAAATTAAAGTTTAATGAAGAAAAATATTTATTTCATGTGTTTTGAATAAATATTTGTAGTACAAAACCATTACATTAAAAAATCATAACAATTAGGAGTGTGTCTATAATTTTGTCACTCGGTTAAAGTTATTATGGAAAATAAACAAATAAATATGTGTCCGGTTTTTTCTCTTTGAGTGCATTTTAAAAATCTGAACTAAATGCGATGCAAAATAGTATATAAACTACAAATTAACATTTGACATAACATAACATTTGATTAATAATATAAAAAAGCATTTTTACATTAATACAATAGAAATTTAAAAAAATTGTTTCCTTATCTTGACAAGGATTGAATTGAAAGATTTTCAAGAATTAAAAAATAATCAGACAATACCGAAGTTCTTTGCTTTCTGTCAAATTAAGTTTACAATCAATTTAATATTATCAAAAACATTTAAGATTAGATAATAGAAGTTAGCAATTTCATTAGGATTTTATAGAAAAATTTAAACTCCAAGCTGTAAAATATGTTTTAGATTTATTGGTGTGAACTTTTGGTAAATTAATACATGTTTAGCAGACATAATTGACCATATTAATTATTTTAATTAATTATACTTTTTATCTAAGGCCTTGGTTGAGATGAAAAAGTTTGTGTCACGAGCTGGATTCGAACCTACAACCTTCGGCTCATACACCACTGCCACTTGAGCTATCGCAACTTCGATCTAATCGGACACCAACTCGTCATCTCAACCTACAACCTTTTGAATTTTCCCTCTTTTTGCCATATTTTCAAGTGTTGCGTGATCAGCATTCGATCCTCAGCAACTAAAAAGTGGCCAAATAATTTACACAAAGTGTATCTATCCCACCTTCATCATTTATACAACTTTTATGTATTCTATAACATTTTTAGTACATTTTTTTTTTAGTATGTATAACCAATGTATGTCAGGGCTATAGATTGGTATCTTGCAAGGTTTCGTGTAAAACAAGTGTCGTAAAATAGCATGAGTGCAACTATACTCCAAGTTTTAAAGATATTTGATTTTGACAAATATTTCAGTACGCAGTTTTACAAATGCAATAGGTACAGTAAAGTTAGCATTGAATAAAGATTAAGGAGACAACTTTGGCGAGGAATACCAAAGAAATAAATAGAGAATATACAATAATGGTTCTACAATCAACGCTATTCAAATTTCATCATAAAACTTGCTATCAGCATTTCTACATTGCAGTAAAAAATACCAGTTAGGCTTAAAAAATGATTTTGAGAAATATTTAGATATACATATTGATAGAAATAAGTAATAACATCATTGTGGAAGTAGTCAAATGAAATAATTTTAATTTTAAGTCTTCACATAGCTTTCAGAACTTTATTGTACCTTCTTCAGGGCTTGATTTTTAGTCAGACGTAAATGAACTTAAATTCTTTTTTTCAATTAATTAATTTTTAATTAAGGTTTTTGTTGAGATAAAAAAGCCACAAAGCGGGATTCGAATCCTCGTATTTAGCTGAAGGTCGTGGGTTCGAATCCCGCTTGTAACACTGGCTTTTTTTTATCTCAACCAAAACCTTAATTAAAAATTAAATAATTGAAAAGAATTTATTTGGTCAAGCGGACCACGAAACCGAATAAATTAAATTCTTTTGTTGTGATGTTAACATTGAAAACTTATTCACTTTTTCTTCACCTTTTCAACTATGAAATGACTAGACTAGTTTTATGTATTACAGGCAGTAAAAATAAAAATACAAATAAAACCAACAATGACTACCTAGTCAATTCATAGTTGAAAAGGTGAAGAAAAAAGTGAATAGGTTTAGTGTTAACATGAAAACAAAAGAATTTAAATTTATATACTTCTGACTAAAAATCAAGCACTAAAGAAGGCACAATAAAGTTCCGAAACCTAGGCGAAGATTAAAAATTAAAAATAGTTTATATGACCTCATCCCGATAACAACCAAGAGAATATTATCTGTATAAGTTGGTCAATAAATCTGCAAAACATCATTGCGGAATAATCACCAAAGTATTATGGGTTTATTGTGGCACATTGTAGTACAGTAGCAATTTGTTGAAGGTTTATACGGTTTTGTTTTTTAATGTATTTTAATATCCTTTATACATACATAATTCTGGAAGTGAGATTAGTCAGAAATGAAGTTTTGGTAGGTAGCCATAAAAAGGCAGTCCAAGTCCATAAGAAGCGAACCACGATGGCTCAAGTGGTTAGAGCAGCAGCGTATTGAGCTGAAGGTCGTGGGTTTGAATCCCGCTCGGGACATTAATTTTTCATTTCAACCAAAAACCTTACATTAAAAAAATAATTAATTGGAATCATTAATATGGTTAATTATGACCACTAAACAAATATGGATTATCTTTAAAACTTGGAATACAGCTACACACATGCAATTTTCTGGCACTTGTTCTCGAACCCTTGTAAGATATCAATTTATAGCCCTGATGTTAACCCTGATGATAAAACTTGTTATCAACATTTCAACAACGTACTAAAAATTACCAGTTAAGGCTTAAAAAATGATTTTGACAAATATTTAGATATGAGATTGACACAAATGGAATTAGGAAGAACATCATTCTAGAATAATCATTGTATGCAGTTCATTGTGAAGTATGATGGGTTTATTATTACGTATGGTAGCAATTTATTGAATGTGTGGTGATTAGTGACCGTTAATCGATATTTATTTAGAAATCGTGAGATGTGGTCTGGTGTGATGTAGGTTTCAGAAAAACATTTTCTTTATCGTTTTTATATCCTTTCACCTCAAAGAAGCCGACGCCTTATACAAAAATGTCTTTTCTATACCGACATCCTTTCCCACCCCTTCAAAATCCAACATATATAAACACAAAATAGCAAAATCTCACTGGCACTCTCAACACGACACGCAAGAATGACACAATTACACAGAAGACAAACACTTTGAATATATAAAATATATTTTGCATTGTATAAATTCACTTTTTCACATCCACAATGTAATTGTAATATGGAAACAATGTTTGTAAATCCCAGGCCCTGAAGTTGATCTCAATAAAGATCGAAACGTTGGCACGATAAAGAATATGTTTTTCTGAAACCCACATCACACCAGACCGCATCTCACGATTTCTAAATAAATTTGTTGAATGTTTATACGGTTTTGTTTTTGAATGTATTTAAATATCCTTTATTATTATAAAAATTCTGGAATTGACAATAGTCAGAGATGAAGTTTTTGGTAGGTAGCCATAAAAAGGCATCAGCCTATAGCTAGTGACATTCAAGTAAAGCGTGTAGTACGGTCCTGAAGCTAGTTATGCAACAGCATGGATTTATGCAAGACTGAAATATTGGGATGGGCGAAGTGACCCTGTCTGGGAATCGATCGAGAAGAGGGACTGTGAAGGACGATTGACCCAGTCCTAGGTTTCAGACGTATATGAAATAATCATAAAATGCCGGGTACTCACATCATTGTATTTCTGCCTGTCGTCGAGGACGGTCAAAATCGCGTTGATGACTTCGGAATTGTGGTGAACCGTGCTCGCGAAGGAGTGAATCTCGTCCGGAGTGAGAGCCGCACAATCCGCCAGCCACTCTTTGATCGTCTGCTCAGTCATATCACGTCGCCGTGTTCCCGAGCGCCACGCAGTCGAATGTCAACATGGTGCAGGAGAAAAGAGGGAAAACCGGCGCTCAGGAGATTCCTTCTTCGCCGTCGGCCGTCGGCTCTAACCTAAAAGGCCGAGACGAAAAGCCGCAGTCATCGCCCGCTTTCCAAGCCTTCCCCACTTTCTTCCCCGGCCTCGATTTCCAATTCCGCCTCGCCGCTTATTTTTCGTTTTTTCCCCCTATTCGACGATTCCGACTCTGAGTGAGATTAATTTCAAAAGAGCCATCAGCGGGCTCGCGCCGTCTAATTACGTAAACATGACCGGTTTCGGTCGAAAAGCTGACGCTCGTGACGTACGGGCTCGACTTTATTTTTTCAAATCTCGAACAAACCCGATTTCGCCTGACGGCGTGAAATGCGATTTTTGACTCTCGGCGTCTCTTTTGACCTGAGACGGAAATAAAAATAAAAATGATAGCTCAAAAATCACAGTTGAACTGAGTGACAGCTGTCGCCCCCTCTTCTTATCCTTATCACGACAACGGGCCGCCTCCCGCTCGTTCCGCCCCCTCTTCAAAAACATACTCCATCACACAACAAATCATACTTTTTGTTGATTTTAAAAGCGCTTTGACTATCTGTAGACATATTTAAACTATATAAGTCATTCCGTGAAACATTCAATAACGTTTACTGACATACCTGGTTCTTGCATTCTCCTCCTGTCAGATGCGTTTTGCAGCCATCATCAGGTTTGTATGTTATGATTTTATGGAGTTTATACTTCCTACTATGCTAATACTTTTATTTAATAAGTGTACAGCATAAGACAGATATGTATGTCCAATGTTCCTGCGAATATCGCAATGTCAGTCTTTTTTGAAAAGTTGACAGTTTTTTGTTTTCACTACCCGTTTTCAGGCTTAAAGCACATCATCAGTTGAAGGATTTACAATCACGTCTCTTGGCATGAATTGTAATGTAAAACTACTATAATTACCTTTACAATTCATCTCGAGAGAAGTGATTGTAAATCTTTCAACCTGATGATGAGCTTTAAGCTTGAAATAATTAATTAATATTAACATTGCGGATTAATAGAAATGATAAAGGTGAGGTGAGTATGGTATTTAATCTATTTTGAAAAGTTGGATCTTACAGTTTGTTTTCAATGATCTGGATAAATTCTTAATTAATTATTTCAAGCTTAAACCTCATCATTAGGTTGAAGGATTTTCATGTCAATTCATGTTGAGAGAGGTAGTTGTAAATCTTTCAACCTGATGATGAGCTTTCAGCTTGAAATAATTAATTAATTAATATTAACATTGCGGATTAATAGAAATGATAAAGGTGAGGTGAGTATGGTATTTAATCTCTTTTGAAAAGTTGGATTTTACAGTTTGTTTTCAATGATCTGGATAAATTATTAATTATTTCAAGCTTAAAGCTCATCATTAGGTTGAAGGATTTACAAATATGTCTCTCGAGATGAATTGCAAAAGTACTTACTTAATTACTCTTACAATTCATGTTGAGAGAGGTGGTTGTAAATCGTTCAATATGATGGTGAGGTTTAAGCTTGAAATCAGGATAGTTAAAGACAAAAACTGTAAAATCCAACATTTCCACAAAGATTAAACAACATATCACCTCACGTCTATAATTTCTATTAATACGGAATGTTAGTATTAATTAAACAATTATTTCAAGCTTAAAGTTCATCATCAGGTTGAAGGATTTACAATCGCATCTCTTTACATAAATTGTAAAAGTACTTACTTTAATTACTCTTACAATTCATGATGTGATAGTTGTAAATCCTTCAAACTTATAAATTTTAAGCTTGAATTAATTAATTATTTGCTGGTTGCTAACATTGCGAATTAATAAAAATGATAAAGGTGAGGTATGTTTAATCTTTTTTAGTTCGTTGTTTTCAACAATCCGGATAAATTACCAATTAATTATTTCATGCTTTAAGCTCATCATCAGGTTGAAGGATTTAAACCACATCTCTTGAGATGAAATGTAAAAATACTTGTTTTAATTACTCTTACAATTCATGTCAAGAGACATAATTGTAAATCCATCAATCTGATGAGCTTTAAACTTAAAATCTGGTATGTTAAAAACAAAAAACTGTTAGTAAGATCCAACATTTCAAAAAAGATTAAACAACATAATCACCTCACCTTTATCATTTCTATTAATCCGCAATGTTAGTATTAATTAATTATTAATTATTTGAAGTTTGAAGCCCATCCAGGTTGGAAAATTTACAACTACATCTCTCAACATAAATTGTCAAAGTAATTAAAGTAAGTACTTTTACAATTCATGTTGAGAGAAATAATTGTAAATCCTTCAACTTGATGAGCTTTAAGTTTGAAATAATTAATTAAGTCTTATTTAATTACTCTTGCAATTCATATCAAGAGAGTTATTTGGAAAACCTTCAACCCGATGAGTTTTAAGCTTGAAATCTGGATCATTGTAAACAAAAAACTGTAAGAGCAATTTTTCAATTTTTGCTTCACTCAGAACAAAATATATTAAAAATTACATCAAATACAAAAATTACATGGTAAAACGCATCTGGTAGACCAACCCAGCAAGCATGTGCTGTCTGTCTCCACTCTCCAGACGTCCAGGCATAGTAGAGATAGTGAAATGTGTATGTCAGACTAACGCACCTAGTCTGACAGGCAAACCAAGTAAAACGTATGAAGATCAATAACGACGATCGCAGATCACAAAAGAGATCTTACAAAGTAAAACTATTGTTTTAATTAAGAAAGTATATGTTGTACGGTATGCCGGTGTTGTTTGCAGTCTGAGCTGAGTTTGTTTTACTCCTGCATTACTGACGTTATTCTGCTGATCCAAATAGGGTTCGGTTGCAAATTGATATCATACATGTTAAGTGCACTGATGATGTGTAATAATGAAGATTAGTGGTTTAATACCATATTTTTTAACTGTAGCAGTATGTAGATCATGTTTAAATTCAAATAGTTATTTATTCTATCTTTGTGTACTGTCGTTTCCATGGCGACTGAACAGCTAAACAGAAGGTTTCAAAATTGACATTTGACACCAGAAACGCTTTATCTGTTGACACCAGGTTCTAAACAGATTTGATTGTGTATTTTTGCTGATTTGTTTTTTGTTTATCTGTGGAGTTATGGTCGACGATTCGGCCGATTCCAACGAGAGAAATCGGTCGGAAAGTGGAAAAAATGCCCCGTTGGAAATACGCCCAACGGTATTTCTATGACATCGTTTCTCATAAATACATCAAATGGAAATACGTTCTTGTTTTTGTTTTGATCGTAGTGGCTTTTGAATTTTGGGAGGTACGTACACATTCCTTCTGAGGTTTTGGAAAATAATAATAGTGGAATAGTGCTGGTTGACATCCGCAAAAAAATATTCTTTGAAAGATTTGCCATAAACTTAACATTATACTCTTGATTATCTTTAATTTCGCTTTGAAAAGAAAAAAGTTAAAATTTCAAATGCCATTCAGAGTTAAAATGTTTTATGACCGCAACTAAAATTGCCTGTTCTCACTGCTCGACAGTCATATCATCTTTAACGGTCACCATGAATTTGGTCAATGATTGCTCATAGAGAAATTATATCTTGCCATTAAAATAATTTTGTTCTGAGGTGGTTTGTTAGTACTTTGTCATGTAATGTTTTTACGATTACAGCTTTTGTATATTACAACAAATTCCTGCAGGCGTAATTACTCACCCTGAGTGTTGGCAGTCCAGGGTCAGACCAAGGGCTCCAGGGGATAGAGTAGATTATATAGGAGCTGGCTTCTTTACGACTTGCACACTGTGACCAGTATTGGTCTATCGTGCATCTCCATTTTTTAAATTATTTTTTATCTAGAGCTCCTCGTTAAGCTTAAGGCTTTTTACTATACCTTAAAACTTCTTCAAGGGCTTGCATATGTATCCTTCAGGCCCTGGCTTTTCCTCTCCCAGGATTAGGAATCTCAGCCTACCTAGGCCTTTGCACCAACAGAGGACATGTTCTGCTGTTTCCTCTTCTTCTTGGCAATATCTGCACAGACTGGCTTCTGCCATTCCGAGTTTATAACATGCTTCCTGAGTCTGCAGTGTGCAGTCAGTAGTCCAACTATTATTCTAGTCCTAGCATGTCGTAAATTTAGCAGTTCTGCTGTTAGTTTCTGCGATGATCCTTAGATAAACATTTTGCATGCCTCTGTCCTGGGCTACATTCTTATTGAACGGATACTTATTTTTAATCCATTGTCTAACGGATCTGTGTTTTTGGCAGTTTGGTATGCCACAAAAGGGTACAGGGCAAATAGGTGTTCTCATCGAACTTTCCTGAGCCAAATTTGTCTCTTTGCTGCCCCTCTGCCCTGTGTACCACCCACCCTGGGAGCCGTAGCCCAGTGTGGAACTATGGAGACGACGGGTGGTATAGTGTGGTTTGAGGCTCGAGACCCCAAAACAGCTCAGCTCGAGTTCTCATCCACGGCCCTTTTCTCAATCCAGGTTCCTTCATAATATCCTGTGACCCCTCCCAACCCTTGGTTGCAAGGGGGGTATCCGGGCACAAAATAAATGTGTAGCCCAGAACCTCTCTAAAGCACAAGCTGTACTCGTGTCGGCCTAGGGTCGGCATGGGTGGTAGGGTCGGCATTGGCGGCAGGTGCCTTAGAAGAGTCACACGAAGGCCAGTGCACCAGATCCTTTCTGCATAGACGGGGGAGGGTGTATGGCCATCTGTACCACAGGGTAACTGAAAAGCCCTAGTTACACTGGGAATGGATTCCCACATAAATACTTTATAAAAAAAAACCTGTTTCTTTTAAGAATCAGATCAGGGATTGAGGTACTCACTGCCATGCTCAATCACAGTACTCATATCCTATGCTCTCTATAATATGGAACTAAGAGATGGCACCCTTCGATTAGGTGTGACCAAACAACTTTTCTCTGCATGCCGGACACATACATGCCTGGGGTACTCAATTCATCAACCCCCTCTCACCATTCATTCATGCCAATAAATACATTCACATGCTAGGGACACAAAACTATGAGTATTATGTACAATTAAACAATCCTATTCCTTTAAAAAGTTGGGCTTCGGGTGCTATCAACAGCTAGGTCATTTCATCATCCAACGTGATGTTCTTAAATCCAAATGTAATGCTTATTATCTTTTAAAAATATTTTCCAAGTATAACTAAATCAAAAATATTCTTAGTTTAAGTTTATACAGCTTGTTGGATATTTTGTATAGTTCGGCCAGTTTCAATCATTTTGGCCTGCCTGTCTTTTCTGGCTTGGTCTTCAGCCCAGTAATGGCCTAATTAGGTTCACCACCTCATGAGGAAATTTCAAAATTTAACACTGCCCAGACCAAATTATGATATTATAATTTTACCTGAGCTTATGAATTGATTACTTTTTTTTAATTGGCCTTATGATCTTGCATATTAGCCATAGTTCGAATTCTTGTGTGTTCAAATTGGGGGTTATCGGGAAAAAAGGGCCAGAGGCGACGGTGGGAATCGAACCCACGACCGTGGCGTGAGAGTCTCTCATGCTAACCACTCGGCTACCGCGGTCCCCTAATTGATTACTTAAATGTATAATTTAGAATACTAAAAACTCTAATGATTAGTGTTGGGGCATTTTTCTAGGCTTATTTTCTTGGAAAATATTAAACATGATTAATCTTTTTTTCTTAAAGTGCTGAAAAATCCAGTATTTAACAGATAAGTTATGTTTACAAAGCAAGCGCACAGTCACTTCTTCATTTTTCTAACTTTCCAAAAAATACTTGTTATGATATACCATATATATATGTATTATATATATAAAATAAATATACCCCAAAAGTAACTTGTAAATTACGAGATCAATGTTCACAACCTCTCATTCCCAATTTTTAATTTCCTCCACCTGTACTACTCCATCTTCCTTATAGACAAATATCAAATCTGACTGGCAGAGCTTTAGCCTTGTTTGCTAATTTATATATATTATTTCTGAAAAGATTTAAATTGAAGTGGAAACATATTTTACAAAACTGCACCCCCATATTGCCATAAGCTTACCTAAGGATAACAGTTTGCATATTTAAGCCGGTTTTAATTACGTTTACATAAATTCCTAAAAATAATTGTATTTTCAGGTATTCAATTTATGGGATAGGCGCCACAGAAAATTCAGGCTTAATAGGTAACTTAGAAATATTTTAAATAATGATAGTTATTATAATTTTTATACCCTTGTAGAAATTGTTATGATGTTCCTGTTGATGCTGTGATCACATGGGTTAACGGGTCAGACCCGATTTTTCAAAATCAGTTGCAATACTATGAGAAAGATCTGCGGGACCAGTTTGCGAAACAGTGCCCTTATAAAATTTGCCTTCCGTCTCACATTTCCGCAGCAAGGTTGTTCAATTTACTGAATTGAAAAACGATAAAAAAAAATTACAATTGTTTTTAACACAGGATAAGTTGGGTCGTAAAAGCCTCTGTCTCTGCAAATATTTCTTTTTCTATCGTAAACAGTACAGATAATAAATCCTGGGCGATAATCAGTTGGAACACACAAGCTCAGGCAGAGCAGATTAATAGTATAGTCTTCGGTGAAACAAGAACCACTATGTATCAAGCCTATTGGACTGTTGGTAGGGGAAAATTAAAATTATAATTGAAATAATTGAACATTTTAGTCATTCATTCTGAAGGACTCTGTTTATTCCCCAAGATAAAAAAGCGCCAAACTTATGGGCAAACAACAATTCTTTATTTTTGACCATTATCGGAGACTGTAATCTGACTGAAGAAAAAATTATAAAATGGTTGGGCACTAACGTCAAACACGTCTGGCTGTACAGGGCATCTGCTGTTGTTCAATTTTTCACTCACAACGATATTCATAGAATTTTGCAGGTATTTTTATGAATATTTAAAATTTATGCTTGATACTTAATTTTTTTTTTAAATCTAAGAATGCTGATTGGCGTGTGATGAAAGTGAATCAAGGATTGAAATTAAATATCACAAGGGCTTATTTAATATTAGAGTTACCAACATCATTGCATCCTGGTGATTATTCACCGGCCAGGTTCAGTGATAAAGAGGTATCCGTTTTTTTAATAAATTGAACTTATCACAAACAAAAATTTAATTCAAACCAAAAATACAGGAGCTTCGATATTGCTTGAGATCAATTGAAAAGCATGCTTCTTGGATTAGAAATATTTACATTGTTACAAATGGCCAAATACCGTACTGGCTCAATTTAGAAAATCCAAGAATTAAATTAATCACCCACGATGAAATTTATAGAGATGAAAACCATCTTCCAACTTTCAGCAGCCCTTCAATAGAAGTTCATCTTCACAGGCATGTACATATAATTGGTATACTGCTCACAAATTACACAGATACACTCATAAAAAATTTAACAATTTAATTCAGGATTCCTGGTCTTTCTGAGAAGTTTCTTTATCTAAACGATGATATATTGATTGGAAAAGACATTTTCCTAGAAGACTTCATTTCCCCAATAAAGGGCCAGAAGGCAGGTTCTCCTTTCAATCCTTTTTTTTTTTTATTATTATTATTTTTATTAATAGATTTATTTGAAGTTTCTTCTTTTAGATATATTTGTCATGGCCTATACCCGATTGTTCGCTATCTTGCCCTTGGTCTTGGGTAAATGATGGCTCCTGTGATCCTGCTTGTAACACATCACAATGCTCATTTGATGGTGGTGATTGTCTAGATGAAAATCTACTAGGCGACAAACGCTTCAATTATTCCGATGAGCAAAATTTGGATTACGAAATTCTGCAAAAGGAACACATTAACATAGAGCATAACTCAGTTTTGCTTAATGTTTCAAAAAATTCCTTAAACACGAGTATTTTGGAAGAAAACATTCTATCGGCCAACTTGAATAGCACGAGAAATAACATAAATGTTAGGTGAGGAAATTTTGATTTTTTAAATGATTTGGCTATTAATTTCTTTAATTTTTTAAATACTGAACAAAAACATCAGCCGTGTTCCACTGATGTATAAATATGTTGATGATGCCAGTAGTGGAAAAATATACGACACATACGCCGAGTCCCTTTTATATGTAAATAAGCTGTACAATAGGCGATACAAGTACAAAATGCGTAAAGTACCTTCACACATACCTCATCTAATCGACAAAACCATAATGGAAAATCTACAGTTGAAGCAAGTAGAAATTAAAATTTGTCAAATTTATACATTTTACGTTTATTGGCTGTTTATATTTCATATGTGCAGATTTCAAGAAGAATATGTCAAAACATCGTCACATAAATTTCGCCAACCTGACGACATGCAGTTGGCCTTTTCTTATTACTACTTTATAATGAGTGAGAAGTACACCAAATCTAAGGGTGAAATATTTGACATGTTCGACACTGACAAGTCAGGGTAATGGTATAAATATTATTCGCTGCGACGGTGATCAAAACTTGTTATTTTGCAGAAGCTGGTCAGATAGAGAAATAAGAACAATAATCGCACAGCTTTATAGTTTGCCTTTGAATAGAGGTAGTGTTCTTCATTTCGAAGGAAGCCTGATCAATTGCGCAAATAGGGACGATTACAATCGTCCACAGCCTATGTACGAAAGATATTTGGATTCGAAATTGGTTAGTTTTTCAGATTTTAAAACTTCTTGTGGTTGTAATTTTAGTTGTATTTTATCAGCGGTGAAAATTTTTTCAGCCGTTTATTTCAAAAGATCTTGTCTTAAGATGTAACAGTGTAATCAGACCTCTTATGGACAGGTTTGGAATAAAATCAAAATACGACTACACCGTTCTCAAATCGACAGAGGTTGAAAGTGCAACCGAATTTCAAATGATAACATCTAACCTGAGTATTCTTTTAAACACTCTAGACAGGATTAGAGGATATCCAAAGTAAAAAACCGATTGCTTAGCATTTGATACTATTTTGCATGATTTGGCATGTTTTACACATACTAAAATTAATTAAACATAAATAATAAAAATTAAATTATCATAAAACTTGAACACAACACATAATTAACCTTTTAAACAGTTTTTGTTTTGTAAAGGAAATTCATCTGTCTCAACGACAATCTTGACGCTGAGAAAATCGAAGAGAACAGCCTCGTCAAAGATGTCCTGCTAGATTTTTACTATTCATTATTTCCACTTCCGTCGGAATTCGAGCTCCCGCCGGAATTCAGAAATAGATTTACATATCAAGCCGACCTGAAAAAATGGCAAAAAAATAAAATTCTATTACTGAACGTTTTGAGCCTGATTTTGTTCGTGGTCGCTTTCACCATTACTTTAGTCTGCTTCAATGTAGAGGTAATTAGTACAGTCGATAAATTTCAAAATGATTTATGCGAATTTTGTTTCAGATTAAAAGCATATGGAAGCAGGTGAGAAAGCGTAAATTGAGGAAAAATCTCACCATGTAAAACCATCTAGTCAAAAAAGTACAAATTTATAAATTTTATTAATAAATGATATGCTTTAATTTTTAATCTTGTATTGTTAATGACCCCACATGGTTTTAAAATTCCTGTCATACAGGAAGGCTTTAAATCGATCTTCCTGATGATTCAAATGAAAAATTGTGTAATAATTGATCTAAGCTAATTAGCGAAATCTACGTTAATCTTATTTAATTAATAAATGTAATGGACTTTGAAGTTTTGGCCACTATGAAAATATAAAAGGTGGTAGTTCATAAAATAAGAAGACCTAAGGAAAATTGCTGAAGACCATTAAAAAGATAACAATTTAGAAACAATACATAATCAGCATCAATCTGAGTAATTAAAAGATACATTTACTCCTGTCATTTTAACCGAAGAGTTATTTCATATTTGTAGAAACATACCATTAGAAAAAAAATTCACACAACCCTTCCCTCCCCCCCCCCAAAAAAAAAAGAAGAAAAAAATAGCTGCATCGCATATATATTTCAAGTACTATCTACTATGCAAAGTTCAAAAAAACATTTTTTTTAAATGTACCACTAGAAGAAGCAATGAACAAAACATGCTGTCTAGGAGTGAAATAATGCAGGAATGTGAGAAAGTTCTTCTCACATCACCATTTAGGTTTTGCTCCTAAATCACTGTCAGTCGGGTATAGCCTTTTCTCAAATTGGTAAGCACGATCCTTTTGCAGTTCAGACCATTGGAGAGCCATTGCTAAGTCATGGTCTTGATACACAAGAGCTTCTCAGACGATTTCGCCCATTGATGTTGCCAACATGCCAGATTATGGGGTTTGGTCTGGAGAGTAAGATATACCAACTTATGCCTTTGCCTTCAACCCAACATGTCCGGGTACCCAGATAACTACCTCCGTTTTTCTGAGGCACTCCAACTCAGCATATCTCATTGATATGGACACGGCAAGAGGGTCTATTATCTGTCACAGATAGCAGAAACCTTACTCAGGATGCCACAGTACAGACGAGATAGGCAGAAAGCCATATTCACCTCGAATTAAACCGAGCACATGCCAGATTGCATACAATTCCGGTGTGTACTTGCTGCAATGCCACGAAGTGGATGAGCCTCCACTATGCAAGGCGCAGTCCACACCATTGCTGGGCCAAATGATGCCCTATGATCCACCATAAAGACAAGAAAAAAAGCCATTTTATAATTAGTGCCTAATTAGAAAGAAAACACTCATTTCCTTTGTCAAGCTTTCACGGAATATACATCATGACTGTGAAACTAATAATTGTTCATTTAAAAGGTTAATCGATAATTATTCAGAAATCGTGAGATGCGGTCTGGTGTGATGTAGGTTTCAGAAAAACATTTTCTTTATCATGCCAACGTTTCAATCTTTATTGAGATCATCTTCAGGGTCTGGGATTTACATTGTTTAAATTTCACAAATACATGTAGGATGTGGAAAAAAGTGAATTTATACAATGCAAAAATTTTTATTTTGTATATTCAAGCAAAGCAATTCTACACACTCGTGTTTGTTTTCTGCGTAAGTGTGCCATTCTTGCGTGTCGTGTTGAGAGTGCCAGTGAGATATTGCTGTTTTATGTTTATATACGTTGGATTTGAAGGGGTGGGGAAGGTTTTTTTTTGAAACCTACATCACACCAGACCGCATCTCACAATTTCTGAATAACTATATTCTCAATTTGGAAACATTTTTGGTTTCAAATACAAACCAGATCATACATGACCAGTATATTAGGACTAAAATAATCCTTTTGGTCCTTAAAGAGAAGAGTAATGGAGGAGATAGTTGATGACATTAAATCCTTGCCAAATTGAGAGGCTTATTTGGTCTCTGCTTTAGTGCTTTTACAAAAGATGCCCTATGAAATTTTGGAACTTTTGTTTCTTTCAGGGAACTATAAGGGTTCACAAAAGGGAGTAGATTTTGTCAGAAATAAGTAAAACAAAGTGTAATCACTACCAATTTGAAAAAGTTAACACGTTAAGAAAATAGCTAAAGTGCTCCATTTTGTAGGGTGTGGTTAGGTTGAAGTGAAAATGAAAATCTTTAAATCTCCAGGAATCCAAAATGGCCAATTAACAAAGAAATAAACCACTTAAAAAACAAGCCATTTTCAAAGCTTGTATTTAGTAAATCCTATTGCAACTAAATTTTTGAAATGCCACGGTAGACCTTGCAGGTGTGATATTTAAAGATGTGTTGTCTGTTTACTTGATGTTACGCATTCATTGTTCCCTGTAGGCTTTTCTAAACTTATAAAAAAGTTCAATGTAGTGCACCAAATATTTGAATTATCTATGCAAGTCTAATAAAGTCTGAAAAATAAAAATTATTTTATTTTAAAGTTTAACTTTTAGTATCAATTTGTGAGATGAATTTTATCTATTGAACTGTTTTGTCATTTTTTTGTATTTATTTATTTTTTAAAAACATTTGTTGATTTTAACTCTTACTATTCTTTTGCCCACACAAATACTCCCATATGATTTGTTGTTTATCTATTTTAGTAATATCATTATTTTTTTAACAATGGGCGATGAACCGGAAAAAAAGATTGAAAAGATTTTTTCTGATGATGCGCTCAATTTGGATAAAATCGATCTATACAGTATTCTCAAGGATAAGGAGAAATTGGTCGAAGATCGACGTTTAAAAAACTGGGGTATTTGGCTACAACGAAGACAGGAACAGTACAACAGGCTTTGCTCCAGTTTGAACATCGAGCCGGAGTGTTTGGTAATGAACTATGAAACTAATATTAATAAACTTCTTGATACAAGATTGATCGCTGAGGCGGAAAAATACACGTACGAAGATAAATACCGCGGCAGCATTCATTTTTGGAAAACAGTCAAGTTTCTGAAAAAAGACCGAAAACCGCAGATAGAAAATCTTGTCTATTCAGCAGATGTAAAGTTTAGAGATGATCCTGAAGTACTTGTAAAGAAAGGGTATGTCGATACGCCAGGTGGAATACAAGAGGAAAATTTTTCAAAGCCTTGTGCCAAAAAAATCAGAAAACCTTGGGAATTATCTGAAACTTTAAAAAGAAAAAAAGAAAAATTAGCCAGTAAAATCAACCTTTTGGAACCTTTCAGGCCAGACATAAAAAACTTGATGGTAAAAGGTGTGGCATTATTTAGACCGAGTATACCGTCTGAAACAAACCATGTATTAACTCCAGACATCCATGTTGAAAAAGCAGAAAATGATTCTTCATTTGATAATTTGGTCCCTGATAACAGAAATCCTTGTTTCCTGAACAAAGCTACCTTAGAAATTGGGTCTGTTTTAGTACGGCAGCAAGAATCGGTCGATGACATACCTGAAGATAATAATTGGGAGTTAAATTTCACAAATGTTGCTGTTTATAACATACATACGCAAAGTGTCAACTTTAAAAATGTAGGTCCAATTGCTGTCCATTATAGGTGGGAACAAACCAATGCTTATGAACATCACAGCTTGCCTATTAAATACAGCAAAAGTAATATTCCAAAATTTTTTTTCGATGTCAAATCAGGAATATTGCTCCCTGGTCAACAATTTTTTCTTGAATTCACTTTTAGATCGAACAAACAAGGTACTTTTAAAGAAGTTTGGGAGCTTCATACAGAGCCATTAATCGCTTTGAAACCTTTGAAATTTGTCTTGCAAGGAATAGCTAGTGAAAATCCAGAAATAGATTTGGGCATGACATGGGAAAAAGCAGAAAATTATATCCAAAGTTGTGTCAAAGTGTCATTTGCGACACAGTTGATCTCTGATATAGACTTTGACAACAAAATTTTAAATTTCCAAACTGATTACAACAATTTATATTTAGAGAAGGAAATATTTGAATACATCAATAAAATTGCCAATTATAAATCCCATTGTATCAATTCCCTGAGGGAATTAAGAGGAAAGTTGACTGCAGATAAGTGGGATTTGAGCGTAAAGTCAGTACGGACAGATATCATCACTCTGGAAAAAGATTGTGACCTTAGGCACGAGTACCTAGGAGAATTCAATACGACAGTTTCTAAACTGACGAAACCACACAGAGAAGAACAAGTGCATAATGTGAAATATGAAGCCGTCTATTCCATTTTGAGCAGTTTTGTCAGCCAAATACCGCAGTCGGCAGATATGCTGCAGAAAATATACAAACTTCAATCGATACCAGTGATCAAACCTAGTTCTCCAAAATTTGAACTCTCTGGTTCTTGGGAAAACCTGAGAACAATAAAATTAATACAGTCGTCTAGCAGTGATGAGGATTTTCTTAGAGACTACAAAAAAGAAATGAAATCAGGACTAAAAATAGGTGGAAAGGGCAATTTGAAAAGAGGAAGCGCAGTAAGTGCAAAACGGGGAAGCACAAAGCGAGGAAGCACAAAACGAGGGAGCACAAAACGAGGGAGCACAAAACGAGGAAGCACGAAAAGACAAAGTACAAAGAGGCAAAGCACAAAAAGGCAAAGCACCAAGAGGCAAAGCACCAAGAGGCAAAGCACTAAGAGGCAAAGCACCAAACCAGGAGGAGCAAGAAGACAGAGCAAGCATCCTGGTGGGAGAAAATCTGTAAAAGAAGGCGCCAGTGAAAAGCAAGCTGCAAAAGAGACAAAAGAGGCATCAAAAAAACGACCACCAGCAGTTAAACCACCAAACATCAAACTTACTAAAGAGAAACCGGAGAGGAAACTGTCTATCAAATGGGAACCAGAACCAGACCGAGATTTATACAGAGGTTTATTGATATCCCACGTGAAAGATCATTTGGAGACGGCGATCAATCAAATCGCTTCAGCTCTTGACTCGTATAACACGTTGGAATTGGATAAGATACCTCCTATGCATATCGCATTTCTTGATGAAGGTCTTAAGCACATTGTTATACCAAAAATCCCTGATTTACAACAGCCAGAAGAACCACAAATTCAAGTTAGCGCAACTCAAATTAAACCGATGGTTGTTTAGTGTAAAAACTGACAGAATAAAATATTCACTAAAGATTTTGTATGTTTATGTGTGTTAAACAAAACATATGATAATAAAAATTTGTTTAATATTTTATTTACAACACTATTTGGTTTGGTCAAAATTGAAACTGATTCACGCTTCTTTACAAAGAAAGTATTTTTCCTGTGAACTTCTTTACCTCACAATTTCTTCCCTTTTAAATCTTACAATCCATTCCTATTTTAATTACCTTGTGCCTTTTTGAGTCAAGTTTATAAGTAGTTTCTATTTTTATTGTTTTATAAAGTGTAGTATTAAAAGTGATTCAAAATTTATTTTTATTTGCCCGATTTTTTGTTTTTCCTTTAGAATCTATTGATATTGTTATTTTTAATGTGCCTTGTACTATGTTCAAGATAACTCTATTTTCTACTTGCATAGACTTCCTATGATGGAAGTAAGGTGTGATTAAAAAAAAATAAAATACAATTATATGTATATACAAATAACTTTACTTCTACTTATTTCCTGAAGGGTACACAACGTGCTTCCTGTTGTAGACCACATAACCTCATCCTCTGAGTATAAAGAATATCGTGTAAAAACACTTTCTAGAAGTCACAAGTGTTTGATATGTGGCATGAAGGTCTCCTACACAAATTAAAGTGCTCTTTCCAAACACCTTATACCCAATCCTTTGCTACTACCTCAGGATGATTATTCCGAGTTCATCACAGATTGGTTTACTCCATAGAAGTGGGAGTGCAACAGGGCACTGTGCTCAGACCAATCCTGTACTCAACTTACATTCTTTGCAAATGACACAGTCATGCTTTCCACCTAAATTACTTTGGAGGAGTAGCAGGCATACGCCCAATGAATAGCTGAATAGAACAAACAGTGGAGGATAAAGATGAATAAAAACAAATGTACCCAAGTTGCATTTACTCTCCCAAGCAAAACCTCTCACCCAATATACTTCAACATTCCTATCCTTAAAATTTACTAAATACGCTACCTTTGGTTCTATTTTGACTTACATTTTACCTGGAACCAACAAATACAAATGAAGGGACAACTGAACAGATATCTCAGACTAGTCAAACTACTTGGACACAAATGTTACATGTTGCCGAAAAACAAACTGACACTATTAAAAATTATTGATCCACTTTGGACTGGAAAGAAGGGGAACGACTAAACCAACATCCAAAGAATCCACTCCTTCCAAATAGAGTTCTCAGAATCATAGTCTACACTCCTGACTGTCCGCAATATCATGCTCCACAACAACCTCCTTTTAAATAAATTAATCCGAATTATCCAGGTTCCACAAAAAAAACTCTCCTCTCCACGTCAAACATAATCTATCCTTATAATCTTGTCACATGACTAAACCAAAGATGGCCCCAGGAACTACTTACCAAGGACTAGCCCTAAAATAAAGTTGGGATAGCGACAAAGGTTGTTAATGTATTACGATGTACAGATTGTAATAAATATTATTTATTAAAAAAAATAAAAAAAGGCTATACAATAGCCATAGTAACTGATATCAAACTTACAGATGTATTACCAAGGAAGCACCAATGAATAAAATATTTTTTTCTTAACATACAATTTTATAACACAAAATCTCTACCATGCATTATTTTCCATTATTTCGCTTTTCATGATATAGTCAATGGTTTTGTAAATTATAACAACCACATTCTAATAAAATGTTTTATTTATTTACAATTGCGACAAGCAGATTAGTATGGTTTTACAATGGATACACCAACCATAGTAAAAATATAAATTCCAATGCTTAACTTTTTATTTACTTTTTCGCTATGATTGTGGGTAATTTAAATTAATATAATCATTATCTAACAATTAAGCGGTGTTTGGTAACAAAATTGATGATGATAATAATAATAAACTGAAGCACAATTCAAATTGTGTTGAAATCCAGTCATACTGGTATTCAAGTCGTTTTTACTAATGCTGGAATTTGTGGTAGGCCGAATTCATCTACTGGCACTCCATCCTGGAAACATAAAATTTGATAAGTTGTCAAATTTTTGATTTTATTTTAAAACCTCATTTAAATTTAGTTTATATTGAACTATTTTAAACATTAAAAAGTTTATTACACAACAAACAAATAGAGAAAGTGTTTATTTATAAAAATAGTGGAAAATTATTGTCCTTTATCTGGTATCTGAAAACCAAATTATAAATAAGATCTGGCTGAAAACATGATATCCGAATAGAAATTTTAAAATAAACTTGACCAAACTTACTTTGTTCCTTTCAGGTTTAGAGGTGCTGGGTTCTTTGTCAGGTGTTACTGGAGTATTGATTGCATCATCTAGATATGATGCATCCTCATCCTGAGCAATCTCATCACCTAGGGCGTCCAATTCAGCAGCCAGTTCATCATCATCGATTTCCGGCATTCCGTACGATCTGCCGAGTGCTTCTTGAACGTCTTCATTCATTTCCAGCAACTCGTTCATTTCATCTTGGATATCCTATATAAAATAATGAATTATGTTTTTGAATAAGCACAATTTGACTTCAGATGACAAATTAACCATAAAGCATAAAACAACCATGAAAAATTTAAGGCAAGGTTTGCTGCACATTTTCAACTGTTATATTGGTGAATAAGTTTTCGATGATTTTGTTTAGATTTTTTGCACTCATAAAATATGTTGTTTTACCATATTATCCAGATATTGGGATGTAATTCTGATTAAGTTGCTGGACAATTGATATAATTGATACTGTAATTTACATCAGATTTATTTGTTAGAGGTGTGGGTTCTTTAATTTTGGAAAAATGGCGTGAATAGTTTTTGAAGGCTATTTTAAAGCTATCAGAAGAAATAAATGTGTTTAATTTGTGCGAAAGACCGCGAAAATGAATGGAATGGATGTATGTTGGTTTATCTGTGTTTGATAGAATTTATGTAGTGTTATTAGTGATAGTGGATGGTTTTAGTGTTGAGTTGTAGTTGTTGATTATTCTGTTAATTATGTGTTGAGGGTAGTGATTGTTATGTAGGATATGTTTGTATAATTTATGCTCTTGTGGTGAAACGATTCATGGCTCAGGGTAATAATTCTGTGAAGTAGACCTTTGGTCGTTTTTATTATTGTATGAAAGGACATTGTATGATGTAAAGTTGAGTTAGTGATCTGGGTTTCTTGGTTTTTGATACCAATCAGTGATTAATGTGCCATCTGGTTTTTTATAATGAGAGCGTTTAAATATTTATTTTTCAATTTCCTCCCCCATTCCTTTAAAATCAAATTTATATAAACAAAAAAACATTAATATCTCACTAACACTCTCAATACTCAACAGTGACACGTCTACACAGAAAACACACATTGAATGAGAACAAATACTTTAAATAAACCTAAAATTTCTACACTGTGTACATCATTGTATAAATACATATTCGAATCTTATATGTATTTGGGTAATTTAAACAATTTTGAAAAAGTTTATAAATCCCAGGCCCTGAAGATGATCTTAATAAACATCGAAAAGTTGGCACGATAAAGAAAATGTTTTTCTAAACCTACGTCACACCAGACCGCATTTCACGATTTATAAATGATCATTAATTAATGGTCACTAAATATTACACACACATAAAAATAAAGTTTAATAGTTTATTTGCTTTATGATGTTGCAATACCTATGGCTGAGTTTGCATGTATCTGTTCTTTAATTAATGCTGTGTGTCCATCAATCATACTCCAAGCCTTCAACAGTCCTCTAAAACTTAAACCTAGGAACATGCTCCTGGAAGATAGCCATTTTTTCTTACAGATAGGCAACACTTAAGGCCTTAGCTTCATGCGAGGTAAAGGAAAAAGCGTATGGAATTGTATGGAAGCTCTAGCAGATGTCATTGGCACCAATGACCTGACCCTGGCATCCATACAGGCAATGAGAAAGTGAACATGTTGGCAGAAATAGGAGCCAAAATGAATTCTCTAAGCCCCAAACCCGTCTGGGGGTCTAGCATCTTGCCATAAAAAAAGGCATTTCCAAAAATGGATTTTTAATTAGACCAAAACCTGGTTGAACAATAACACAGGCATGAGTCACGCGAAGAGATTCATAGAAGGGCCATCCATAAAAATTACAAAGTAATTACTGAATGGCACATCACATCAGACCGCAACTCACAATCTCTATATAATCACTAATTAACTAAATACTTCACATTATTATAATAATAATAATTTTTTTGGTATGTAGAGTTCAAACTTACTTCTATTTGATCAATATTGATTTTTTTAAATTCTTTCTGCATACTCTTGACACCGTCCTTCATCGCTACCACTGTCGCCTGTGTATCCTTGAGCGATTGGACGGCGAAATTGGCTTGTTCCATGTTGAACGCTTGTTGCCTCAGGTTCCCGGCCTGTTGTTCATACCTAAAAAATAAAGTAAAATCAGTCCTGAAAGAAAAGAGATGAGTGACAGTCATCTTACATTTTCCTCTGTTTGAGAACCCTCATTGCCTTCTGTTTGACAGCATTTTTGGCAGGGCCTTCTCTCATTTTCACCATCTGGTCCTTATATTTTCTCAGCTCGGCATCCAACTTGGCGATCTTCCCCTCTATGGAGTCTGCTTTCGTGTCGACCTGAAAAAAATAGGCTGAATCAAATGTGAACAAAGGGGAATATTAGATTGCGCGATTGAAGCGCAACAAAAATTCACCCCAGTGATGATATCGTTCATGTTTGGAGGTGGTGCTGCAGGTTTTTTCTTTCCGAATAGCCTGTTCATTTTGAAAATTTATGAATACTTAAAAAAATATACAGTGGTGTGAAAGGACGTAAATTGAACTCTGTGTCTTCTGTAACCTTTCCAGATTTGTTATGTTACAATTGTTACTACAACAGCTGAACAGCAGGCATGACGTCACCAATCCAGAAATCTCACGCACTCACGCGACAAAAATGTCCTTGACGTCATGACAGGGAACTTGTTTAAAAAATCAACCCTACTAAGTTAATTTAATTATTACTCTGAGTTGATTTTTGTAAATTATGTTTGTTTCGTAATGGATTTTTTTTTTATTCAAGCTACCAGAATGTCAATAATAATTCATTGTACTTAAGGCGCTTTCTCAAGATTCAACTTCTTTTGGGCGAAATCTGTCGTGAGAATCTTAGGTTCTTCAGACCTGATCAACTTTTTTGTTGGATCCAAGTCAAACTATTGTCTTTCAAGTCGAATCTTCCGATCAAGAGGTCTTAATCTCACTTGACTTTGTTTTTTGCTTATATAATTGTTAAAAATAAATAAAGAAATAAGCTTCAAGTAAACTTGTCATGTGATGCTAAAATTAGCAGCATTTTATAATAAACATTACTGCTTTTGTACTGATCATTGTTTATTGTTTTATACATATATAAAAAAACGTGCTATGCTAAAAATGTAATTTTAAGAGGTTTTGTTTCTACAAATTTAATCCTTATTGCTGCAGATCCCACAATTTGTGTATGTCATTACTCTTTTATTAGTGTGTAGCCAATTATTGTTAATAAATCGTCTTGATCGGGTTAATGTAGCATTTTTCAACATCTAACTTTAGTCGCAATTAATTGAGCGTAATTCGTTATTTATTGATTAAAAAGATTTTGGGGTATTAATTTCCTTGTTGGTTAACATAAAACAAAAATTTTCTTCGAATATGACGCAGAATGCCCTAATTTGGTGGGATTTAAAAAGATAAATAAAAAATACTGCTCTTTTGCATGTTTTAATAAACATTCTATAAGCAAAGTAGGTAAGAAAGTGGTCAAAACTTGGATTTGACCTCATTGTCGTGATTCTAGCGTTATAAAACCCTTAGATAACGACTTTCGATAAATCGGTGTAAATTAATTTTCTGACAGATAATTTCGACGTTTCTGCCTTAATTATTCCTAGTGTAAAATCTACCATCATTTTCTCTAAAGCTAGTGGACCGATTTTCATGATTCGTTTGAAAGAATTGTAAAGTCCATTTTATAACTGTATTAAACTTTAAAAACGGACCATTATTGCCATTTAAAAAACGAGGTTAATTTCTAACAAATAATTTACCTCTTTTCTGTATTTTCTTATATTTTAATGGTACATACGTCGTTAAAAAAAGCTACGATCCTCTTCTTTCAAATGGCCTGTTTGTCATTACAATTCCTTTAGCTGTTTTTAAATTATAACCGTTTCAATCAGATATTCCGATGACGACCTCTCAAAAATTGGAAAAATTTAGGGGTAAAAACATCGATAAATTAAAATTCAAACCAAAATTAAATTTAGGGGTATTTGAGGTACTAAAACGAAATTTCATATTAGTGTCACTACAAAAAATATGACCTAATTTAATTGAAAAATGTTATTTGTTTTTACGATTTTTTTGCTTATTGATGAACTTTGACAGCTTTTACTATTGTTTTATTGCAATGTACATAAAAAATTATGTAAAATGATACATTCACATAGTTGATTTGAGGAAGTAGACCGGCTAAATAAAAATATTATTAAATAGAAAATTTCAACTTTCAATACATTTTTTTTTGACAAAACCAGGGCCTATCCATAAGAAGCGGCAAATTCGTGTCCGATATGTTGGAGTGTATAATTACCAAAAAACGTTTGTTCCAAATCCTTGACCCACCAACCTGGTCGTCCCCTTGTTGGTTCTTGAGTATAACAAAATAAATTTTTACAAATGTGTGTAAATCAGTGGATGTATTTGTGTTCTGGGATGAGAGAAAATGGAGATGAAATTTAGATGGAGAGAAATACTAAACCATCACTGAAATTGGCGAGAACGCATCTGGCGTATATTACCGGAAACTGCCAAGCTACTGGACAAAACATTGATTTATTTATTGGATGGTCACAAATGCAATGTCCATTTTTATCAGCAGGAAGTTAATTACACATTGACTAACAATTAAAATAGTTTTTATTCAAAGAACTTCACATATTTTTCCCAAACACCTTACAAGTTTTGATTGAAAAAAAAAATCCGAATTCTTATACTATAATATGTATTAAATGACTAGATTCATTGCCGAGATGAAGTTTACTAGTTAACGTTGAAGTTTTAAATTTGAAATTTAGTAAATTGTTCCACTTTAAAATTCTACCCATATTTAGTTTTCATTTTCTTTCTCGGGCTCATTAAAAACTCAGTATAAGTACAAAACAACACAAATAATTTAACATGTACTTTAGCACTTTACAAAGTCGACCTCATAGGGTAACAAAAAGTTCATGAAATATGGAATAGTTAAATTTGAGCGCCTCCGGGCCTGACAGCGCTTTCTCAGTCCTCTTAACGTGTCTTATCTTTGATATTATATTAGTCATACAGTGAGTCATTGGGAAGAATTTTCATTCGCGTTTCATACTCATGAATACTTCAATATTTATGAAAGTTAGTATATGCATAGTTATATGCGTAAGTTAGTAACCAAAGAAAAAATATATTTAGCAATTTTCGAGGACTATTGTATTAGATAACTGCATGAGAAAATTGGTGTAGAAAAGAACTCAGTACGACTGCGTTTTGGTTCTATGTAAGATCTACCTGTTGAAGTTGTATTGTTTGTTTACGTTATAAAAATGGGTCGACTAAATCAATTTCTGATCTGACAACTCTGGTATAATACCAGCACTTGGAAGCATACTGAAAAGCAGTGTGAAGGATCGTTCCAGCTTTCTCGTACATATTTTCCTATTTCCTTTTGGCTTGATGGCTTTGATCTTTGGCATCCTCTTGGCTAAAGATATTTGCTTTCTTTTTTGCTTTTAGTTCAATTTTTTAGACAGATAAAGAACAATTTACTCTAGCTCTAAAAGCATCTAGTGACGATATGATTCGATAGTTACTTCTTAACTAAGCTATAAACCTTCGAGGAGAGTGCAATTTTGTGCGAGACTTTTTCCGTTTTTGCCTCTACTGAAAAATCACCTTTTCAAACATAAAAGTGCAATTTTCTAAAGATTTAGTATAGCTAATTATTCAGAAATCGTGAGATGCGGTCTGGTGTGATGTAGGTTTCAGAAAAACATTTTCTTTATCGTGCCAACGTTTCGATCTTTATTGAGATCATCTTCAGGGCCTTATGTTGTCTGCATTTCAGCAAAAAAGATCTTTGCTGAAATGCAGACAACATAAGGCCCTGAAGATGATCTCAATAAAGATCGAAACGTGGCACGATAAAGAAAAGTAGTTTGTTAGAAAAAAAATTGATAATTTGTCCAATTTTTAAATTTTTGTCAAATTAAAATTTTTAACTGTAGATATTTGTTGTTACACTTAGGAGTTTGTTATACTGATTTTTCAGAAAAAGGAACAAACGAGGAGGGGGTTTCCCATACATCATAGTTAAGGTTGGTCCTGTCTGCCCTAAATTTTGTACAAATTTATGCAAAAAAATTTTCCTCGAGTTTCGGCCACAGAATGAATTTTAATATCCTACTCGGCTGGCATATTGGTGAAATGCAACCATGCTAGTTATACCTCATGATGTCATGACGGGCCGGTTTAGAAATTCGCCTGCATTCTTTCGTCGATTTCTCTGTACTTCAAGCTCCGATAGAGACCCGGTAGAATACGTTAGTTTCAGCAAATCTAGACCTCTCCTACGAGACCACACAGTAAAATTAATTTTTAACCGAAATATCGACTACAAATTTATTTTTTATTTGCGTGTTATTTTCATTAAACTTTAAATGAAAGTAATTATTCAGAAATCGTGAGATGCGGTCTGGTGTGATGTAGGTTTCATTTCTTTATCGTGCCAACGTTTCGATCTTTATTGAGATCATCTTCAGAGCCTGGGATTTACAAACATTGTTTACATTTACTTTAAATGAAAGTATGTTAGACAAATGTTTTTTGAAAGAGTTCCAGAAAGGCTGTCGCCGACGGGACGAACGTCAAAGAAAGCGAAAACGCTTTGATTTTCAAGATAGTCTCTTGTATATTGTGTTTTATTACCTTTCTTTTTAAGCTCACAGTTCTTGTTTTACAAATCCAATTGCACTTCGGATAAGAGGTAGGTGCAATCAACACGCTCAAGGATACAAGCAAAGAGCCTTAAAGTACAGCTATATACTGCTATTCGCTCACTATCCATCGTAATCCGGCAATTTCTTCTTTGTTCATGTTCAGTATATTATCTATAGTGTTAGTATACTATTTGAAGGAATGTTTATTACACAATAATTCTTTTTTCCATTTGTTAACATTACCCGAGTAAAAATTGAAGCGGAATTTACCAGAATTCAAAATGACCATGCAGGCTTAATATATTGTATAAAATAAGTCGCGCATGTAATCATTGCGGCAAATTTTTTTTTTTTTTTTTTGAGGGGAAGAATATTTTTCTTGACTCGCAAGGCTAAATAAAATCAGTAAATTGACGTAATTTTTTTACAAGGCTTGGGAAATTTGAGGTTAATACGTGTAATAGGCTAGATAAAATTGGGGTTAAAATTTGACATAATATAACCACATATATAAAACTGCCGGAAACCAGTATAGTTTATTTCTACGAGGAAACACGGTACGAATTTTAAAATTTAAATTAGCCTACTTACTTACTGATTTATTTTTGTAAAATAATATTATTTTTCAAGAAAATAAGTTTGGTTTTATAAAAATTTGGATGAAAAGTTATGGATTTTCTGTTTCTAATTTTCCATATAATGTATGTTTTCGTATATACGATAAAATGAATGTAAATTGAAAATAAAACATGCAGCCAACCGAAATTCAATTTTAGCAAATCACTTTATTCGAAGATAAAAAGTGGCCTGAATTTCCCCACTAACCTTTTATAAAAGTGCCCCAGGATAAAATATTTTCGAAAGCTGATTCAGATATCGATGTGAAAATAAAATTCTCGGCCGTTTGCCAGTTGTGA